GGGGTGGGGGGTGGGGGAGACAGAGAGGGAGAGAGAGGGGGGAGGAAGGGATCCCCCTCTCTCTCCTGATCTGATTGATGAGGCGATGGATGAGTCAGTCAACTACCATACTACCTGTGGGTCGGTCTCTCTCCGATATAATGAGAGGGAGGGACCTTCCTGTCTGTCTCTGTGGGGGCGCGAAAACCCCATTTCTCCACCACTTAGGCAAAAACGCTTTGGGCAGCCAGCCAGCCAGGCAGGCAGGCAGGCAGGCAGGAAGAGACACAAATCCCAGTGTGTCAGCAGGCCGTTAAACACTCACTCATCAATGGAGGGTATGCAGGCAGGCAGGCATCACATCACAACCCTCTCTCTCCTACACCCATCCCATCTCCCCACCCACTTGCTTACGCACCCCCAGCCAGCCAGCCAGCCAGCCAGCCAAGGAGGGAGGGAGGGAGGGAGGGAGGGAAGGAGCGCTCCTACGAGCCAACGACCCTACACATGCATCCGCTCACCTCACGCACACCCCGCATCCATCAGTCAGCTACACGTAAGCATCTTATGCACCCCTCCCTCCCTCCCTCCCTCCCTCCCTCCATCTCCCCCTTCCCGTCTATCAGTTCTGACTCTGGAAGCTGCCGCCCAGCTTGGGCGGCCTGCGGGCGATCGGGGCCGGCAGCGACGGGCCGACAGCCATGGCCACCGCCGCAGCTGCAGGGGGGCCCTGAGGCTCAGTAATGATGTTGGGTGTGCTGACGTGGGGTGGTGGAGGTCCGGGCTGCTGCTGCTGCTGCTGCTGGTGGTGGGGCTGGAACGCCTCGCTGTGAGCGGCAGAGATGGAACTCTGAGACAGACCACAGAAGGACACACACACGTATGCGTGTGTGCATCGTGGGTGTGGTGGGTGTGTGGCGTGGTGGGTGTACCTGAACACTGCTGGATGTGCCTACGCCGACCCCACCCCCACCCCCACAACCCAGCTGCTGCTGCAGTTGCTGGATGCCCATCATCATGTCGCCGTCAATCATCCCGCGCAAAGAAGACGACGAAGGCACCTCACCACCAATCCCAACACCAACACCGCCGAACACACCGCCACCGCCACCGCCGCCACTACTGCTGCTGCTACTGCCCACCACCATCGGGGGCGGCTGATAGGGCCCACTGCCCGCCTGCTGCTGCTGTGAGTGGTGGAATGGGGCAGCTGGCTGCTCACCACTGCCTCCAGCACCGCCACTCGACAAGGGGAAGGCAAAGAGGCTCTGCTGCTGCCCCCCCGCCCCAGTGCCCCACACACCCGGTGCGAAGGAGCCAGCGACTCCGCCGACGCCCATGCCCATGCCGTTCTCCGCGCCGATGTCGGGCCCACTCGACTCGCTTGTGAATGTGCGCATGGGCGCGATGGAGCCGAAGATGCCAGAGCTGGGACCGGCGGGCACGGCTGGCGTGAGCAGGTCGTGGGTGTGGGTGCGGGTGTGACGGTGTAGGTGGGGGGCCGTGGCTGTGTGGGGGGCCATGGCAAAGGGTGTGGCCGTGGTGGTGGCGAATGGCTGGTGCTGCTGCTGCTGGTCCGGGGTGAGGAACTGCACCAAGCTGCCGATGCTACCAATGCTCCCGTTGGGCTCAAACAGGCCCCCCGCCACACCCACACCCACCCCCACACCGGCCCCCAGACCACCACCGCCCTCATTCAGAGTCTCGGGGGAGGACGACACCTCCCTCGACGGCCCACCCAGGCTCATGTTGGCCCGCTCTGCCAGCGCCATGGCGGGATCGTACCCCACGTGGCGGCCGGCCGTTGTCGTTGCTGTGGCCGAGAACTCCTCCCCTGGGAGAGACGACGGCGACTCCGTGGTGGTCGTGCCGGCCCCGTAGGATGGCGCCTGATGGTGTTGGTGCTGGGAGTGGTGGCCATGCCCACTGCGTGACGGCAGGGAGAGGGCCGGGAGCTGCTGGATGGAGGGAAGGAGAGGCGGTGGCTGCTGCTGCTGCTGCTGCTGGGGTGGCTGCTGCTGTGGCTGTGCAGCTGCAGCATGGGGCGGGGGCGGGGGCGCCTTGAGGCCTGCCGAGAAGCCGAACTGCCAGAGGCACTCCCATGAGGCGCACGTGATGTTGCTGAAGTGGATGAACAGGTCGCAGACGTCGCGGCGACGGTCGGGCAGGGGAACAGTCTCTGAGGAGAGAGAGAGAGAGAGAGGGACAGACACAGTGGACAGGGCGGGGTTGGCTTGTCTGTTTGTCTGTTTGTCTGTCTGTCTGTCTGTCTGTGTTTGTGTGCGGCAGTTGGTTGGGTGGCCTACCTACCGTCTTTGAGATACTCGGAGAGGAAGAGCAGCATCGACGCTCCGGTCTCGTACTCCAAACTCTTGCGGAACGTCTGACACACACCACACCACACCACATTGATGCCAACACGCCCCAAACCCCACTCTCGACCCCACTGCCGTTGATCTCACCGTGGACAGTGCAGGCTGCTTGAACCGGTATCTCTCCTCAATCTCCTCGAGCGTGTGGCCCCCGACCTGCTCCGCCACCTTCAAACCCATCCCCAGCCCCAGCGTCTGGCGCGCTCGCCGTGCGTGGGCCTGCCGCAGGATGTCCTTCCACCGACAGGCGATCTTGTCGGGGTGGAGGATGTCGAACAGCGCCTGCCCGAGGGAGAGCAGGGGAGACGGCGGGGGAGGGAGGGAAGACTCCAACGAATAGCCCCAGTACTGACACACACACAGAGACAGAGAGAGAGAGGGATGGGTGATGGGCGATGGGCAATGGGTGTGTGGGGGGGAGGGTGAGGGTGAGTTGGGGGATGGCCTGGCTACGTCGAGTGCGTCTCTGCAGATGGAGAGGAAGTTGGATGTCTCGTCGGTTCGCCAGAATAGGGGGTGGTCGAGGGCCTGCTGCACACTGATGCGCTTGGCGGGGTCCTTGTGCAGCATCAGACACAGCAGATCGTGCAGCACCGCCGACTTGGACAGCTGCACACACACAATCCAAATCAGCCCGGATGGATGGATGTGTGGGTCGTCTCGCACGCTGGTTCCCCGTATTCGCTGACGTCTCTGAGTTTGTATGGCTCGTCGTCCTCCCGGACGCGCCGGACGGTCGGTGAAGGCTTGTCGATGTCGCCACACGGATGCTGCCCACCAGACGCCATATAAAACATGACCAAAGCTGCACACACGCACACACACACACACACACACACACAGAGAGAGAGAGAGAGAGGGTGGAGAGAGTGTGTGCAGGTGTTGCTGCCGTCTGTCTGTCTGTCTGTCTGCCAGTGTGTGTAGGTGTGAGTACCTGCCGACCAGACGTCGGCTTTGAGCAGGTCGATCATCTGAGACTGCCGCTTGAACTCTACCAGTGCCAGCTGCGGCAACACACCAGACCACACACAGAGAGAGGAACCGAGAAATATCCATCCATCCATCCATCCCCCCATTGTGTATGTGCCCCCCTCCCTCCCTCCCTCCCTAACTCCTTCGCCCAACTCACCGCCTGTGCTGCCTGCAGTGTGTCTGCGGCCGTGTTGGGGCTGGCTGTGTCAGTGGGGATGGCCGTGGCGATTGCGGCCTGCTCGTGGTCGGTCGTCTGCATCTCGAGCAGGCTGTGTGTGCGGCTGCGCTGGTCGACCAGGTGCTGCAGCAGCTCGGGGGCGTACCACATGCACTCGGACTTGTTGTCCACCATCTACAGGCGCACGCACACACACACACATCCCTCTCTCTCTCTCTCTCTCTGTGTGTGTGTGTGTGTGTGTGAAGCCATACCTTTGTGAGAATGTCCCGCGCTTTGGCGATGCCGCCCTTGCCGTTGTCGACGAGCGCGTCCACCATGACGTAGCGCACCTTGCCCAGAAAGTCGCCGAGCTTCAGGTTGTAGTTGGACTGCACCAACACGTTGCCTGGGTGGATGCGCCTGCAGCAATCCATCCATCCATCCACAGACAAAGACACACACATGGGGTGTGCGTGTGTGTGTGTGTGTGTTGCGAGGGTGGGGGAGGGTGGGGGAGGGTGAAGGAGAAGAGGGTACATGTGGGCGATTCCGACGCTGTGGAGGCTGTGTATGGCGTCCAGGAAGTCGTGCAGCAACGAAATGACTGCACAGTGAGTGGACACGACAAAGTGAAGACGCCAGGGAAACCATATCGACGCGTGTGTGGTCTGTCTCTGTCTGTCTCTGCTTCTCGCTCACACACATCCATCGTACATGCGAATGGCGGTGTGGGGCCGTCGAGGGCCGTGTTCTTGAGCCGCTCCAGCGGCACCATCTCGTCCAAACGGCCCACACACAGATCCAGCGCCGCCCACAGGTACTTGCCCTCCTTCTGCACACACACACACACACACCAACAGACCCCACAACACACAACTTACACAGACAGACACACACATGGATGGCGACGGCGTCCATGCCCACCGCACCTGTGGGCCGCCCTCGATGGACGGGAGCATGGCTGGGCAAAAGAGGTTGGTCTGTGTGGCTGGGGGGCAGGTGGCCGTGATGCATATGGCGTGGAGGTTGACGAACTTGGGGTGCCGCTGCTGCAGCAGCACCTGGAACTCGCGCAGCAGGTCCTCCGACGGAGACGGCAGGGCCAACGGGACCGCCTGACATGCATCCATCCATCCATCCAGAGAGAGAGAGAGAGAGAGGAAAGTGTGTGTGTGTGTGTGTGTGTGTAATATCACCTTGACGGCTACTTTGTACTTGTCCATGGCGCCGCGGCGCATCACGCCGCCATACACCTGACCACACACACACACCCTCAGACACGAGGAGGGCTGTGTGTAAGTGTGTGTGTGCAGTGTGCCTTGGTCTGAGGGTCATCTCGTGCAGTGCCGATGAGCGCCTGTGGGTCGTAGAGGAACACGCCCTGCACCTCTCGCCACACCACCTCACGCAACACAGGGTGGCCGTCACGGCGACCACGGCCTGCACACAACACACAACACACACGCACACGCGCGTCAAAAGAAAGCGCTTCTCTCCCCTGTATCTCTCTCTCTTCTCTCTCCGTCTTACCCTGGCCCCTGCTGCTGGCTTCCCTTCGCGGCCTCTCCCGCTCGTCGCGCGCATACAGGTACTCCCCTCCGCCAGAAGCGGGGCCGCTCTTGCCCTGATACGGACTCAGCAAACCTCCACCCACACGCATACCGCCGCCCACTCCACCTATGGCCCCGTCCATGCCCTCGGCCTCATCAGCTAGGCCTCCATCGCCGTAGGGCCAGCCATTGTTGCGATTGGGGCCGCCGCCGGTGCTGGTGCTGCCGCCCCCACGGTTGTCCGCTGTTGCTGCTGCTGTGGGTGGGTAGGGGTGGCGAGTGCGGGGCACGGCGCTGCCAGGGCCGTTGTGGGTGCGCCGGTGGGAGGGACGACGGTCTACTAGAGAGACACACAGATTGACACATCGAGAGAGAGGGAGGGAGACGTGCAGAGGTGTCCGTGAGGGTCGACATGACTGACCTTCGAGTGCGAAGTCGTCATATGGGTAGTCGGGGAAGCCGCCGCCGCCGCCGCCGCCAAGACCCCTCCCACCTCCTCCACCCCCACCCATGGCACCTCCTCCACGCCATGTGTTCCTCCCTCCTCCGCCAGGACCACCAGCACCGCCCCCACGGCCGCCCCCAGCTGCACCACCGCCTCTGTGTCTGCGGCCGTATCTGCTGCTGTCGTCATCCTCATAGACACGGCCGTCCCTGCCACGGCCATGGTGCCTGCGTACGCGCACACATGCGCGCAGAGAGGGAGGGGGTGGGCAAGGGTGGTTGGTTGTGGGCGTACGTGCGTCGTGTTGCGCCGATGTTGAGAGTGCCGAGGTCGTCTTGTCCGACGTCAGGGGGGATGTCGAAGTCGTGGCCCTTCTCGTTCCAGAACTCCTTCTCCTGAGCTATCCAGCGCTGCTTCAACTGACACACACACACACACACACACAGAGGGAGGGAGGGAGGGAGGGACAGACAGACAGACAGATAGACAGACCGACACCAACACCAGTACCCGTGTCGTGTGTGTGTGTGTGTGTGTCTGCGTGCGCACCTGCGGGGTGACCTGGTCTTCTGTGGAGTACTCATCGGGGTAAAGATCCTCCAAGCTATCAAACGGACCTGCCAACACACGCAGCGCATGGCCAGACACGCAGACGACAAAGATGAACGAATATGTGTGTGTGTGGGTGCGGGTGTGACCGACCGAGAATGTCCTGCAGTGTCTCTCCCGGATTTCTAGTCAAATCATGCAACTCGTCCCTGCACCACACACACACACAGATGACACACATGACACACACGAACCCCATCTAACTTTTCCCCCCACCCAGTCAGTACCAAGTGCTCACTTGGAGTGTGCGAAAGGGCAGTAGTACCGCTCGCAGGGGGTGTGCTTGTGCCGCACACACTCGATGGTCTTGTATATCTGATATGGGTGTGGTGTGGACGGATGAGTGGACGACACACACACACACACACACACACATACTTGCCCGTCGGCAACAGTACAGTCCGTCCCATTGACCGTTCCTTACCCGTGGGTGGTACCTGACACCCAACACACCCAACACCAAGCACACAGAAATATCAGCCATCAGTCAAGTCACATGTGGGTGTGCTGCTCACATCTGCTCCTCTCTCTGAAGCGCATGGGCACAGGAACCCCATCCACGACGTGACGCCAGCAGCAGCATGCAAGCAAATCCATTCATCCATCCATCCATCCATGTGTGTGCGTCGCGCTGACCAACCAGCTGCCCTACTGACCGTGTGTGCGAGTGGGCATTTCTTGTCGTATGGGCAAGTGGATGTCGCGACGGTGGCCCTCCTGCCGTTCTTGATGGTGGGCGTCAGGGTCACGTGCGGACACAGACGCGGCTCGTAGTCGAACTTCTCGGGCGAACGACGCGTCCAATCCAGATGGGAGTACTGACACCTGCACACACACAGACAGAGACACACACACACACGCACACGGACATGCAGGTGTGTGTGGTGTGGCAGGGACTGTGTGCACATGTGCGCGTCGAGCAGCAGGTGTGAGGCCAGCAGGGCAGCTCAGCATAGCCATGGCGCACAGACAGGCCGCATGCACGCACCAACATGCGTGTCTCACGGACTCCTTCCCCCTCCACCCGCCACTCTCCCCTCTCCCTGCCTGTGTGCAGGTGGCTCTTACTGATGGCCGAAGCAGCACCTCCCATGTTTGATCAGACGCTCACCTGCAGCACACCACACACAACGGAGAAACCAGGCGTCAGGACAGATGCTCTGATGCCACACACACGGGTGCACACACACAGTGAGACGCGAGCAAACATGAGGCCACACGAAAGCATCCAGGCATGGAACGGGGTGTGAGTGGTATCAGGCGATGCGCAATGCTCTCCTCTATCACATGGTGACACGCACGCCTGGCTGCGGCTGCCTTCTCTGCCTCGACACGGCGATATCCGCGTCACACCCACACATAGACGACCAAAACCGACCCATACCTGACTCTCTCCCCCTCCCCGCCCTCTGTGCGTGTGTGTGGCGTCCCCCTGTGCCCTCGCTTACAGTATTTGGTCCTGAACTTCGACAGCTGGTCCTCATTCAGGTAGGGAGGGAGCGACATCTTGATGTAGGGATAAGCCGAGTCTCCCTACCGACGAGGGCAAGCCGTCCGCCGCCGCACACCACCTGACCCACACGAGAAAGCGGCAGATTCGATGAGCACAATTACGGGTCTGGAGAGGCTCGCACGCACAAAAAACAGGGCAAAGGCCTGGCTCGCGAGTTTTAGGTCTGTGCGAAATTTCGCCCGTCTGGCTGCCTTTATCGGCGTTTTCCTCGCTCTTATGCACAGTTTGTGGGAAAGTACGCTGCTATGAGGCCACCGAGGACCCTCTGGCACCCCCCGATGACCATCAGAGGCCATCCGGGTGATACGAGAGAGTCGATCGGATGGCTTCACAATTGGCGCACTTTTCAGGCTGGGGGCCGCAAGAAGGTGTAGCTGGCAGGCTGCAGGCTCGGAAAAGGATCAATCGATCAAAAAGAAACGGCCGAAGAAGACTCAGTCAAAGGCCGGGGAGCGGCTGGAGGGCGGGGGGGCAGGCTGGAGACATTCCCTGTCGAAAACGACTCAAAATGACTGATTGGTTTCAAACTGACGGTTGTTAGCACATGGGGGCCAGCGTGGCCTCCCTCTAAGGCAGAGGGGTCTCATGTCATTGCCTATGCTGAAAGAAGTCAAGCCCCCAGCCAACTCAAAGCACTACGAGCCGCAGCTCTACCATTGCAAATTTTCAGGTCGATCGGTGGGCCTTGCCTTTACACGTGAGGGCCTGCCTTTCCCGTGTGGTGCCTCACCTTCACTTGGGGATTTGAAGATTGGGATCAAGGAATGGGAGCAGGGCCCCACGGGCGATGAAGAGACTCCAGGGGGCGAATTTCGCCAAATTAGGGCCAAAAACGGGCTCAAGAAGCAGCAAAGTGGCCGCGGATGACCTTCTACACTGGCAGGGAGGGCGGACGTACAGCCGCAGGACGCTAATTGGCAGACAGGAGGAGCACTCGCCTGGTGGGGCTCGGGGCTACATGTCCACTTTGCAAGGCTACCAGTCCTTCTTGCAGGGAAGAGAGCAGTCCAGAAGCGCTCATTGAAGCTGACTGTGAGCCTTAAAACACTCGTTGACGAGAAACAAGGAAAAACGAAGCTGCGCGCTTGTAGGACCAAGAGGCCGTAACGGTTTTCAAGGCTTTCTCAGTTCCAGCACCTCCACAGTGTGCAAAAGCCTATGTTTGTCCGTGTGTGTGCCCTCAGCTGACCGCGTCTCGTTCGATTCACCCGCATGCGCCGAGCCCCAAGGGCGACGGCATCGACAGCTTTCTCGTATTGGTGAATCACCCGAGGGCCCATGGTGATAGCATGACAACAAGCTGGACTTCCGCTAGGATTCATTGCCAGTCTTTGTCAGCTTTTGGCCACTGAAAGCGTTCGCGAGGAGAAAGAGAGCAGCCGAGGCGAGTGTTTGCGTGGCGGCGGCGATCTGGAGAAGGGGCGTCTTCTGACGAATCCACGGCCTCTCTTAGATCCCGCATCCCTTTAACAAGCCTCTCTTCATCTTTTCTTGCTTCTCTCATCTGCAATGGCGGCCTCTACTGAGGCGCCCGTCCCTCAGCATGGCCGGCCGTCTCTCGCCAAGGGCGACTCGGCGGTTGTCGCCGCTGCTACTGCTGCTACTGCTGCTACTGCTGATCATCAGCACCAGCATCGGCCGTCGAGGGTCGTGAGGCCCAGGACACCTGAGTATCGGACGAAAGAGCCGAGCCTCGATGGACTGTTCCCGAAATCACCGGGCCGCTACACACTGGAGAACCTCAACCTGCAGTCCCTCGGTGGGTGTGTTGGTGTCTCTCTGGCGAACCCAGGCATATTGATGCGTGTCGTTGTGTGTGTGCTGTGGGCAGGTGTGGAGGTGTTCTCTCGCGAGAGGGTGCGTGGGTTGAGTGGGGTGGAGGTCAAGACGGTCATCAACGGGGACTTCGTCAAGAAGCCGCGCAAGGGGTCCACCGTCGTGCTGCACTACATCGCCTTCTACTCAACCGACCACACACACGGCAAAATGTATGTCTGACACACAGGCCCATCCATCCACAGAAGCAGCGCGGCTCGTGTCTCTCTCTGTCTGCCTGTGTTGCAGGTTTGACTGCACCTATAACAGGGGCCGGCCGCTCAAGTTCCGCGTCGGGTGCCACGCGGTCTTCAGCGGTCTGGAGGAGTGCGTGAGGCTCATGTGCGAGGGCGAGAAGAGTCTCTGCTACATTCCACCGCACATGGCCTTCGGCACCAGGGGCTTCCCCGCGCTCGTGCCGCCCAACGCGGCCCTGATCATGTGGATCGTTCTGGAGGAGATTCTGCCGGTTGGCTACGAGGCGCTTCGCAGCCTGGGGGGGCACTCGTTTAAGTACGCATGAGTGGCCGATGGTGATGGCGTCGACGATTTCGGCTGTTTTGTTCTGTGTAAGAAGAGACACGGATGACGGACGATGTGTGTCAGTCAGTGTGTGTCGACGTGAGCCTTGTGTGGCGTGCGTGTGGGTGGTTGGGTGGGAGTTTGGGGGTGGATGTGCGCGGATTCTGTCGGTCAAACTTGTTGATCCTGCAGAGTGCGTGTGCGTGTGAGGGGAAGGATTGACGTTCACTCACTGATTCAGTCGACCAACCAATAGTTGCTGTTAAATGCCAGAATGTCACACACACTGTCACCGTCCATCCATCCACCGGTATGTCTGTGTCCGTCCGCTGCCAGCAGTTCCACCCACTACCGTGTCCGTGCCTGTGCCTGTGTGTCACTAGGTGTCTGTCTGAGTGTGTTGTGCTGTGTGTGGGTGGAGTGAGTGAGTGCATGGAGCATCAAATCGCCCTCTGCCTACCCCCTCCCTGGTGGGATGGATGGATGGATACCTCTCTGACTCTCGGAATCCCGTCTTCCCCCGTGTGCGTCGTGGTGCGCCTGCCCTCTCTCTCTCTCTCTCTCTGTCCTCTGCCTGTACAGCCACCACTCACACACCTGTGTAAGCAACAAGCGGCTTGCCGGCCGGTCTGATTACCGTACACACGTGCATGGGTCCCGCCCTTGTCTGTCTGTCTGTCTGTCTGTCGTCTCAGCCCCTTTGAGCAAAGTACCATCATCGAGTGAGCGGCAAGCTGAGCACGCTAACACGAGGGGTCACGTAGGCTGCGGCATCGCGCCAAGCACGCTCACAGCAGATGCTCGCCGCAATACCCCAGCCACCATGTGCCTCCCGTGTTGGTGTGCTCGCCCGGCCAACACACCCAATACACACATACAATGGCCACCCTCCGGTCTGTGCAAGATCAACTGCATACACGAGTGGGTGGGGCGGAGGGATGGATGGATGGATGGACAGCAGCTCCTAAAGCGACAACACTTGACAGCACCCCTCCATCTCTCTCCCCCTTCCCCCTCCCCCTCTCTCCGTCCGTGTGTGTGTGTGTGTGTGTGAGTATGAGCACCAACCAACCAACAAGGCCGTCTAGCTGTACACAACAAAGGGGGGCGTGCACTCACGCACTCCAGGCACACACTCAGGTAGGTTAGGTGCTTACACAAGCTTAAAGCAACTTGACAAGAAAGATAGATGGGCGGTGTGGATGGTGGGTGAGGTGAGATGAGATGGGGTGGGCAGCTTGTTTACGCCTCTACAAAGCAAACATGCACTCAAGGACCACACACGAACAGAACACACAGGGGCACGCAATGGACCGGCCAAACAAACAGGTGATGGCAGCCAGGCAGACAGGCACACCACCGCCACACACCCACCCTGTATCCGAAACACAGGCACACGAAGAGAGGACCTCTTCGTGCTGTGCTGTGTCCGTGTGTCGCCTCTGAGCTAACCCCATGCCACCGCTGCTATGGAGACACCGGTCGATGCTGCACAGCAAGGATGCCACGGAGGGGACCCAGAAGCGACCCACAAGGCACAGGACATGTCACCATCACAGGGTCCTCCCTCTTTGTCTCCCACTGTCTGTCTCTCGAGCCATGGTCCGAAAAACGACTGCAGCTCCGCCCACCAGCCCGTCTACGAGAAAAACGACCGCTTCCCTCCCTTTTGACGGCGGGCATCGTCCATCCACCCACCCATCCATCGGCAGCAGCAAGAAAAGGCAATGGCATGGCAGCATGTATCACCTCTACACGTGAATTACGCGCATCGCAGGCATGGTACACGCAGTAAGTTAGGCGTACAAACAAACGGGCAAACAAACAGACAGGCGAGCGAATGAATGAATGGTGGGAGGCGAAAACAACAGCCAGCCAGCCCCCATCCATCCGTCCGTCTTGTGTGCGTGTGTGCAACAAGTTAGTTCCTCAAGGAATTCACTCATTGGTTCTCAACGATACAGAAAAAAATAAATCGACCAAAAGCTCCCCGCCCCCCACCCCCACCCACCCTGTAGGCTGTCTACGCTATGCTATGCTATGCTATAGAGTGTACACTACGCCCCCGCCATCTCGGCCGCGACGGGCAGGCTGCCCTCGTCGGTGAACCCCTCCTGGCAGCACACGAAGAACACCACCAGGTCGCCCCCGCCCCCTCCTCCACACCCATCGCCGGTGTTGATGAGCCGCAGTGCGGTGCCCGCCCGCACCATGAGCACGCCGCCCGCATTGATGCATTGGCCGGGGAGGGCATTGCTGCCATTGGGGCTGACGGCCGGCTGCAGCTGCACCGAGGGGGAGGGGGTGGGTGTGTGGGTGGCGCCTGGGAGGGAGGAGTGCTTTGGTGGGGTGGCTGGGGGGGAGGACCGGCGGGAGGGATGCCGGGACGGCGCGGGCGTCGTGGCCGCCTGATTGCATAACCACGTGACACACACGAGAGGGGACGTCTCGCGACTTATGTGCTTGTGTGTTGTCTGACTGACCCGTGCGTTGCCCTGCAGGACGATGCCTATGGTAGGTCCGGTGGCGCTGAATATCCTGTGGATCTCGCGGCCCTTGGGGAGGACGAGTCGGTAGACCTCGAAGTCGCTCACCGGCGGGCGGTAGAGCATGAGGCCTGACGGCTCGTCGACGTAGGAGGGCGTGATGACCTCCACGCCACACTTGTCGTACCACAACATCTGCACACACACACAGAAGACGGGCAGGGAGAGGTAAAAGGAGAGAGAGTGTGTGGCGTGCTGTGTTGTGTTGGGGGAGAGGGGGAGAGGGGGAGGGTACCCTGCACAGGAGATCCACATCCTTGTGCTTTGGCGTCAAACCGCCTCTGTGACACACACACACACGAGTGGGTAACACCCTGGCGCGTGTTGGTGTTGACAGTGTTGACAGTCCACACACCTACCTGACGACATTGTCTGAGTTGGCCATGCACTCGATGCACTCGCCCTTGAGGTAAGCGTGAAGCGTGTTCGGCCCGATGAACATCGCCTCACCTGTGCAGCACAGCACAGCACACGTCAATCATGCCGCATACACCACACACACAGTGAGTGACGCATCCCTCTCTCACCTGGATTGAGCTTGATGTGGTTGAGGAAGAACGCCGCGAACACGCCCACATCTCCCGGGAAATGCTCACTCAACACCAACGCCAAACTGATCCACACACACACGCACACACACAAGGAGCACAGAACACACATCTCTCCCTCTGACGCCCCCCTCAATCAATGCATAATAAAGACGTACCTGTACACCTGTTTGAGTGGTTCGCTCTCCATGCTGCCGCTGTCCCGCAGCCGCCGCAGCCTATCTACCAGCCGGTCCAGCTGAGCCGCCATGACCGACACGTCGCACCGCATCAAACCCTCGAAGAACTCCCGCAACGCCGAACCGCCCTGCTCGGGGCCCCCATGGGTCAGCCGGTGCTCTACTGACGCCGCACACGCCTCACCCAACACCGCCCGCAACTCTGGCACCTGTCAACCACAGAGAGAGAGAGACAGAGAGAGGTGGTGGATGGACGTGGCTTGCCCACTGCGCGTGTGTGTGCGTACCTGTTGGACGTGTGTGAGTATCTGTGCGGCGGGCCTGAAGCCGCCGAGGGCCTCGAAGGGTGTGAGTGCGATGGCCATCTCTGGCTTGTGGTTGCCGTCCTTGTACATGTGTGGGTGCTCCCGGTGCAGCCGCTCCGCCAGGCCCTTGTCGGGGTGCGCCTGGATGGACAGCGGCATGGCCACCGAGAGGACCTTCATGAGGAAGGGCAGGTGCACCCGGCCGCCCCGCCCGATGTCGCCGAGGAACTCCCTGTTGTGCTCCAGAAACCGGTCGATGGGCGTGTTGGGCCCCACCACCGAACACAGCCCCGACGGGTGGTAGCCCATCCACAGCTCCGCGTACGGCTTGCTCCTGTCCACTGGGTGCCCCGTGGCCGCAGCCAGGTTGGCGACGAGGCTCTCGCTGCCCCTCTTGCCCCAGGCGTACTGCTGCACATAGGGGTGCAGGAACACCAGCCGATCTTGGTAGTGCGTCAGCACCTGCAGACCCTCAGGCGAACCCGGCGCACCGTAAGCCGTGCTCAGGCACGACTCGTTGCCGAAGGGCGAGAGGCTGACGTCACCGGCTGTGTCGACCATGTGGGTGGTGCCGTGCTGAGCCCTTCAGGGCCTCGAAGGCGTCAGTGAGCTGCTGAGGGAGGGACGTCTCGTGAAGGGGGAGCGGGGAAACAGCGAATCGATGAGGTCCTCCTCGCTGCGCTTGTGTGATGCCGACAGTAGATGCCGGCGCGGCAGGCGGCTGCTACCGTGCCTGCCGCAAGACACGAGGGTGCTGCTGCGGTCTTATCGACACCCAGAGACCACCTTCTTCTCTCTACTCTCTTCAACCCGAAAGCTTGCAGATGGAGCCGTTATGGCGCTCCATGAAACCGCTGCTGCCAGCCTTTGGCGCACTCCGCAAGCGCAAAGAGGCCCGTGGCGCACTCCGGGCTGCGTAGTCATGTCGCACCGATGAGATCTTCCGGGTTTCCTTCGTTGGCATTGACTGGGATTGATGAATGACGCTGACGCTGGGGGCGGCCGAGAGGCTTGATGCGGTTGAAATGGTGAGCAGATGCCCGCAGATGAGTCAGGGTCGAGTTTTGTTTGCCTTGCTCATCTTGTCGTCTCGCTCATTTTCAGAGGTCGAGCTGATAGCTGACTCCACAGCTACGCGATGGCTTCGGGTGGTGGCGCGGCTCAGCCTGCCAGGGCGCGCAAGAGGGTGCTGATATGCGTGGGCACCTACGACAACCACCTGGACCTCACCCAGCCTGAAACCAAAGACAAGACCGACCCCCCAGGTCCTCCAGAGCAGCAGCCCAGTGCGGCCGCACCAGCAGCAGCAGCGGCTGCTGCTGCCGATGGCGTCGACCTGCAGGATGGCCTCCCCGTCGCAGCCCAGCAACCTGCTGCCCCTCACAACGGGCGCACACACGACGAGCTCGCTGACCAAGTACAGAGGGACCGGCAGGAAAAGGACAACGAGAAGCCAGCTGTAGCCGTATCCGATGAGATGACTGACGCCGCCCATGCCCCCCTCATCCCCTCCAAGCGCCCCTTGTTTGACGGCATCATCGACTACGACCCAGACAAGCTGCGGCAGATCGAGCGGCTGCGTGACTTCATCGCACAGCCGCAGCGGCGCCAGCGGTTCGCGTGTCAGCGGGAGGGCCGGCCGACGCTGAGGGTGGCGGAGAACAAGGTGGTGTGGCAGGAGCTGGACAAGCTGTCGTCCATCTACGGGCTGCTCAACGAGAAATACCGCTCGGAGGGGTGAGTGCGAGAGAGCAACAGGGGCCGGAGGGAGGGAGGGCACGTGTCTGTGTGTGTGCTTGTGTGTGTTACATAGCTTTCGCAAGGCCGCGAGCCGTGTGTTGTACTTCGATGAGAAGATCACGGAGTCTAACGTGGAGAAGCTGCGGAAGAAAAGAGTGATAGGTCTCCCAATCCACCCACAGACAGACAGCGATATACGCCCATTATCCATCCCGTGCGCCGTCTGGCTGTCCATGGTGTGGTGGTGCAGGGGACCACACCATAGCGGTAGTGAAAGGGATTCTGCGTGACGGCAAGTCCGCCCGGGTGGCCGAGCTCACCAACAACCCTGTCTACAAGTCGCTCATTAGCTTCCAGGTAAATATGCAGCCAAAGGCATTCCACCCACCCGACCCGTCACACACATCCCTCTTGCAAGCTATCCCTTCGTGTGCCTGCGTCCATCAATCAGCGTGTGTGGGGTATCGGCTACAAGACGGCCGAGAAACTGTTTGTGAAGGGGGTCCGCACTCTCGGCGACTTGCGAAAGCGGCAGCACGAGCTGCTGACGTCGGCCCAGCGCATAGGCCTCCAATACGGTGGGGCTGGTGTTTCTCAGAGGCAGCATTTGATGTATGTGTGTGTGTATGTGTGTGTGTATATGTGTGTGTGTGTGTATGGCGCAGTGGACGAGTTTGAGCAGCGGATGGATCGGCGCGAGGCCGAGCAGATCATCCAGTTCGTGGCCGACATGTGCGCCAAGCCGCCCTTCGCCAAACACAACCTGGAGGTCGGCTTGCCGTCTTGTGAGGAACCTATCTTTTCTTCTCTCTATTGTGTTGCCGGTTTCTCTCTGTGTGCTGTGCAGGTGGTGGGTTGCGGGTCGTACCGTCGCGGCAAGAGTACGTGTGGTGACGTCGACGTGCTCATCCTCAGACCACCAAACGCACCAACCAAAGGCCTGCTCGCGCAGTAAGTAAGACACCCACATCACATCCACGCAGCCCAGCCATCCACCCACAGCTGTGGCCCCCCCATTCCCCACTTGCCGTGCGATGAATGAATCGTCAGGCTCGTTGGGTCGCTGCACGCGGCCGATCTGCTCACAGACGACCTCCACCACGCCCGTGCCAACTGGCGGGCGGCCGCAGCCAACGATGACGCCGATAGCGATTGCGATAGGGAGACGATGGACGTCGACCTCGAGGGCTTGCCGGTGCTGTCAGACGCGGTGGTCGAGGACGACAGCGAGGGCATCAACGAGGATGCAGAGGGGTACTTCGGTGTGGGGCGGCTGCCGGGGAGAAGTGTGCACCGCAGGATCGACATCAAGATATATCCCCGGCACCTCAAGGCGTTCGCTCTGCTGTACTTCACTGGGTGGGCGGGGGAACCCACTGACACAACAACCAGACACACGACACACACACACAGACACAGAGACAGACAGACAGACAGACAGAGAGCACGGTGTGTCAGATTGTCTGTGTGGGTATGGGTGTTGCCTGTTGTGTGCTGCGTGTCTGTCGTGTGTGTCAGGTCGGCTCACTTCAACCGTTCGATGCGCTTTGCGGCCAAGAAGATGGGCATGGCGCTCGACGACAAGGGCATCTACCCCTGCGCGAGGTGCAACGGGGAGCGGCTCTTCGAGGGACTCCCACAGCCAAAGGCCCGGTGCGTACTTATCCGTCTGTGTCCGTGTGTCCCCGGTGGCCTAGACAGCTACACATCTCACATGTGGTGTGTGTGTGTGTGTGTGAGGTGGTTGTCTGACCCGCGAGAAGAGGTGACGGAGGAAGACGTATTTGCGCAGCTAAGTGAGTGAGATGGGTCACAAACAAGTACACGTCAGACCCGTCTTCCATCCATCCATCCATCCAGGTGTGTGTGTGTGTGTGTGTGTCGTGTGTGTCCAATATATAGAGTTCCACTATATGCCCCCCGAGCGGCGGGAGACCAGCGTGCTCATCAAGGAGCCTTGCGATTGATGTAGCTAGGGATCGCATGCTGCTGTCCTTTTCGTCACATGAGCTGTCTGTCTATCGTGCACCGTAGCTGCTGTTGACTGTCGTGTGACTTTGCGCGCTCACGCATACGCTCTTTGTTCATGTCTGAGTGAACATCCATCCCGCCACTTTGCGAATCACTGCGCGAAACCAGCCCTAGGAGCGGTGGTAAACTCCTGTCTGTGCCACCTATTGTAAACTCCTGACGCCACCGCACAACGGTGAGGATGGAGAGCGGCAGCAAGAATCTCCCCTCGCAGGAGCTGCTCAAGGCCCTGTTCCCGAGCCGCTTCAACCGCAACAACAACCAACCACCCTACCCACCGCCTCTCAATGCCCCGGCGGTGGCCAACAATGCGGCCCGGAAGCCGTTAGCCAACCATCAGGATGACAGATGCAGCTACCCTGCCCACCACCAGCATGACGGAGGCCAACAAAGACCAGCAGCTGCACCAGGGTCCGACGGCCTGCTGGCGTCCTTCGCTTCGCGAGAGGAGAAGGCGGCCATCTCTGCAGCGTGCAATTCTGCCCACCCAGCCGCCGCCTTCGAGAAGCTCTACGAACAGCACCAGCAGCAGTCCGCCCACTCGTCGCTTCCCGCGCTGTTCTTTCATGCGTGGGCTCTCTCTCTGGAGAAAGAAGAGCGATTCGACGAGGCTGGGCAGGTCTATGCGATGGGTGTGCGGCACCATGCACGGCCAGTGGAGGGGCTGCAGGCGGAGATGGACGCCTTGAGACGACGGCAGAAGCGCAAACAGCCGCCCGGTGGTGGGGCGGCACAGCATCATGACCAAGGACGGTTGCAGCCTGAGAGAGCTACGGCAGCGACCGCCGTCGCCATAGGAGGTATTGCTGATGGTGCCAAGGTGTGTCGTGACCCTGAGGTGGGACCACGATCACCCCGCCCATCGCAGCGACACGCCAGCCCCTCACAGCCACACGCCCCCGAAGGGCAGCGACCGCCTCGCGATTCACTGCCTCCGCTGCCCCTGGTGCATGACAAGCCTGCCAACCAGGGGGAGGACTTCGGTGCGTGTGAGTCATCCCGGAGAGGTCTGCCGCCATTGGCCACACCGGGTGGACCGCTGGCGGGCTGCTGTGAGCATCGCACTGCCGGACAATAGGGGACCTTTCACCAGCAATCGCATTTTCACTGTCAGGTCAGGGAGAGAGGGAGAGAGGGAGGGAGAGAGAGAGAGAGAGAGAGGAATGGACTGCATGGAGGGTGGGCGGCGATCCATCCATCGTGTGTTGTTGTCTCTCCTTTCTCCGCACACACACACACACAGGCTGGTGGATCCGTACTGCCACGCCAGTCGCACCTACCGCGAGCATCTTATCCTGCAGCAGCTCATCAACAAAGGCTCAGCATCACCCGGACCGCTCCACAGCCGTGGACCCCCAGACACATCCCCCACACGCCTGTTCCAGCTGCACACAGACCCCCTCGCCATCCGGGCCAACCACTGCAGGGAAGGCGCCACTCTGCCCGTGAAGGTCGGAGGGAGGGATGGTTCGTTGCGTGTGGGTCGGGTGCTGGGCCGTGGGAGCTTTGCGAGGGTCCACGCCGGCAGGTGGCGGGAGCAGGGGGGCACGGAAGCGGTGGAATGTGCTGTCAAAATCCAGGTAGGTGAGACAGCAACAGTGTCTCGAGAGAGAGAGAGAGAGAGAGATGTGTTCTCCTTCTCCCTCGTGTGTGTCGTGTTGGTGTAGACATTTTACTTCGGCAGCGCTTTGCGTGAGCTATACGCCTCTTCCGCCCTGCACCGACGAGCCCCTCTCATCTCCGACACACGCCCCCCACAGTCCCCCCAGCCATCCCATTGGCTGACGGGCGTGTCGCTGTCACTGCACGGCATCGACTTGAGCGGCCCCGAGGACCGTGTGGCGAGACGGCTGGCTGGGGATGGTGGTGGGTGGAGGGATGGTCAGGGTGGTGTGAGTGTGATGGTGCTGCCGACGATGCCTGTGGCATGCGACATGCACACGGCCATCAACGAGTTCTTTCTCATGAGGTAGGCTGGGAGACACAATTGATGGGATTAGTGGATGTGTGTCGTATTGTGTGTGTTCTGGGTTGGTACAGGGGTCGTTACTGCAGTGAGGTGGTGTCGTTCTTCCTAGTCTACGAGGTCATGGGGCTGCTCATGCAGCTGCACCAGGTCAGGTGCAGACAGAGAGAGAGACACAGAGAGAGAGAGACGACACCAATGTGTGTGCCCATCTTACCCTTTGCAGGTTGGCCTGCTGTCTGGCGATCTCAAGGTAACAAACACCACAGATGCAACAACCAGACACAAGACACAAACACAACACACGTGCGGCTCTCCAATCACCCCTGCAGACGGACAACCTGATTGTGGCCGACATGGCCGCCGACCGCAGTAGACACCTCGCCATACCAGGACCGCATCACGACATCAAGCCTACACGCCACCATCCGCTCCTGGACGCCCCCTCGCCCATCGGCGTGTTCGGCATCGACCTCGGCAGAGCACTCGACACACACGCCGTCTACCCAGACTGCATCTTCAAAGGTACACCCACACACGACACGACACGACACACAGAGAGGGGGAACGGACTTTTATGTGTTTGTGTGTGTAGGTGACTGTCATGCGGACGACCTTTTGCCACCGGCCATGCTCAGCGGCCTCCCCTGGATGCACCATGCGGACCTAGCCGGTGTCGCCGCCATCGCACATATACTCCTCTTCGGCAAGTACCCCCACATCCAGCCCCTCCCCATCCACCCCAAGCCCACAAGAGACGCCGGGCCGTCCCTCACAGCAGCAATGTCGATGCCGCAATGGGGCCTCGCACCGAATGCGAGGTTCCCTCGAGGCGGCGACGAGATCTGGCAGGACCTCTTCCACTCTCTCATCAACTTCTGCCCCATCTCTGTGGCCCGACAACCGAATGCACAGCAGGGGGCGGGCGGCAGGGGGAGGGGGCCTGATGCGGTGGGCGTGTTGTGTGGTGCCTCTGTGAGTGTGATGTGTCGGCTGCGCGGTGCGATAGAGGGCTGGTTTGGGGGTGAGCATGGCGGTGGGAGTGGGAGGAAGGCTCGGCTGCGGTGTGAGCTGGAGGGGCTGCAGAGGGACTTGCAGGAGTGGTGTGCCAAGAGAGGCCAGATGAAGAGGTAGCCAGCTGTGTGTGTGTGTGTGTGTGTGGTGGTCGGATGACTCGAATCGCTGGAATGAAATTCATGAGACACATAGAGGGGTCCATCAAGTCGTACAACATTGCACGATAACTGCCGGACGCACAACACACCCGCGCCATGACATCCCGTCCACGGCTACCCAGCAAGTGACGCTGGCGACACGCATGCATACCAGCAGCGTATCACCGGCGTCAAATACTGGGCCGACATGGTCAGGGATGTCATTCACGCGTGTGTCGCTGTCTCCCCACGCTGTCTTGCCGTCCGTTGGCACATCAGCCAACTCAACATGCAATCACAAAACACAACTCTCTGTCTCACTGGCGACATCGAAACAAGTACACAAGAAGGGTCGCATTTCTCTCTGTTCTGTCCTCATCGGGCGCCGCTGTCGCACCTGCATCTCGAGAATCGATGACCCGATCTCGACATGCGGATGCAAGGGCGGCAGCCAATAAGGCCTACAGAGGGAACGGCGTGTGTGTGTGTGGGTTTATGAGTATTGGTGTTCGACGCCGAAGAAGTATTTGCGCCTGAAGGGGTCCTGCCGCCGCTGAATGTACATGTAACCCCGGGTCAACTTCTCCTGATCCCTGATCGATCCATGTCCACACACACACACACTTATCGACAGGAGGGCCTATTCACTGTATATGTGTGTGTGTGTTGCCTTCTGCCGACCACATGCACTGCTTCCACTCCTCCTTCCACTTCATGCAGCGCGTCACGGCCACGTCGGGTTGCTGAACCACACACAAACAAACACACGCTTGTATGTGTGTATGTGTATGTGGCGCATGTGTGTGTGTGGCTGGCTGACCATGTGTGCCTGGTGCGCCTCCCTGCAACGAAACTCCTCCATCAGCAGATACTTACACGCATCCTGACAAGCAAAGCACCCCAACACAACACACCACACACACACATACACACTGGTGTGTTCCGTCCGTTTGTGTGTGTGTGTGTGTGACTGTGTTGTGTACAGTACGTTTGGTCCGTCAGCGTGTATTTTGTCGGCGTAGTTGGTGATGCTGGTGCGGATGTCGTCCTCACCCTTGGTCTCTTGATACATCTCGGGGGCATACAAACTACATGGCACACACACCACACATCCCAACACAACACACACACACACTCGCAGTGATCTGCCAGCCTCTCTCTCTCTCTGCTTGTGTGTGTGTGGTGCTGGCGGCTCACTTGGTGTTGTAAGCGAGGTCCTTCTCCCACTGGCTGCTGAACTTGGGCTTGTCAGAAAACCCGCCCAGCGGCACAAAGTCACTCAACACGTCGTAATACCTACACAACACAACACACAGCCATTTTTCGGGGTCGGCGTATCTGTCTGTGTCTGTGTGTGAGTGATGTGTGTGTTGTGTGGATGGCTGCTGGGCTGGCCACTCACTGTAGGTTGAATCGGTCGCTCTCCGGCTTGACGTTTTCCGCGTGGGGCCGCATGTCGTGTGGCCATGGGACCGCCTTGGCCTTGCCCTGGTTGTTGTCGAACTTCTCGCGGATCGTGCGGCCGCCCATCGTCCGAGCCTGACGGACACACACACACGCACACGCACACGCACACGCACACGCACACACACGTCGTCCGGTGCAGGAGATCTCTGCAGTCCGTGTGGTGTGTGAACTCATTCACTCACTGTGGGCACGGGCTCGTATCCCCATTTGTATTTATGGTAGCCGTACTCCTCATCCTGCTTGGGCGTCATGGGCACGCCCTGACACACACACGCACACACACACAAAGAGAGAGGCGCGACGCAATCAGCACACCAGCAGCGTCTTGTGCAGAAGGCTCTCATGTCCCTCACCTTCATGAGTTCGGGAAAGGCAGCAGGGTGGAGGATGGTGGCCGTCTTCTGCGCCTCGTCGCTGCCGTGGTTGCCGTTGCCGTTCTTGCCCTCACAGTGCGCCGCACGCCGCACCCCAAACATGGCAGACAACATGGCGGCTGCAGACTGGATGGGAAGTCGGCCCTCACGGTCAGGCCGCCGCGTGCAGATCTTGCCTTGCAAAAGAGGTCTTCTTGAGTTGCAGATCTCCCACAAGCTCGCAGTTTTTCTCAGCTCGCCGAAGTCTGTGTAGCTTCGAAGTCCTTGCTGAAGCGGTCTTTGTGTGTGTGGGATTGTGTTGGGTTTGAGAGAGGAATCTCATCGTGTAATTGCGTCATGGCGAAGTCCATCCGTTCCAAGGTCAAGCGGCGGTTCAGAGCCGCCAAACGCGCCAAATCAGAGCGTAAGGAGCGGAGCGAGGCGGGGATGACACACAAGCAAACCATACAGAGAGATCCACCGGTCTCTGTGCGTGTGGTTGTGTCCAGGTGTGACCGGCGAGGCGCGTGCAGCTCGTGAGGCCGAGAAGGTCCGGCGCCTGACAGCTGGGGTGCCTGTCGAAGACCCCAAACCTGCAAACGCATTCCTCTTCCCAAGTCAGTCAGACCATTCAGCTGGCTGACAACCCAGACCACACAATGGCCTGGCCGTGATGGATGCATGTCTTTCTCTCCCCCTCTCCCCCCTGCAGATGCGTCGGACGCTCAGTTCCCCCAGAACCTCCCCGTCCGCACCATTGACTACCGCTCGGAGGCCAACCCAGAGTCGCACGAGGCCTTCATCGGCGGCCGGCGGAAGATGACCTCTCTCGAGAAGGCCGCCATGAAGCTGCAGGGCAAGACGGACACGGCCGATGCGGCTGACGCGATGGACCTGGATGCGCCGCCGGTGGATGTGCAGGGCATGATGATGCCGAGGTCTCTGCGGGAGGGGGGGAAGAAGGTCAAGCAGCAGGCGCCTGTGATTCCTGTGCGGCGGGACAACCTCAAGAGGGGCAACAAGGTGGGCGGCAGGGAGGTCAAGAAGGCGGCGCAGAAGAGACGCAAGAAGAAATAGGCGGGATGGGATGGGATGGGCGTCTGTGTGGTGGGTGTATAGCTTTCTTGTCTTTTTGGCATGCCTGCTGAGGACCTGTGTGGGTGCTGTGTGGAGATACCCTTGTCATGTCTGAGTGTTCTTTCTGGGGGTCGTCACCGGCTGTCTGATTTGCCTCGTACCCATTGTAGGGGATACGAGGGAAGTCACACAGCAGGCACAGACTCACAGGAGGCACACAACGACAGTCGAAAGACGAGGGCCACAGTAGAGTTGTTTCTGTGGACCGGCAGAATGTGTGAATGGACATTGAAACATCTAGCGTCCATCCACGCAGACACCGTCACACACACACACACACACACACACAAACGGACATAGACACACCCATGCACTAGCGATGCACAATTCACATGAAGTGAGCGATAGTGATGCATCTCACTGATCCATCCATCCATTTCTGTGTACATGCCTGTCTGTGATATGGTCACAGGAGCACCCCCGTGAGGCCATCCTGGGCCCACAGGGGCAGCCGGATGTGCACACGCGACTCGCCGAAATCGTACACACGTCCGCCACGCACATGCGCATACAAAGTGCTCGGCCCCCTGCCGCTGCTAGTGGTGTTGGTGGCCGACTGAGCCAGCGAGAAATCCTCCTTCTTGTCTAGCTTGAGCCCGCACACCCTCTCCTGATGGCGTCTCTTGGGCGAAATGGGCGCGATCTCGCTGATGCGCACAGGCACCTCGTGCAGGCTCTTGCCGGTGCCGGCGGCCTTGGGGGCTCTACTGAACGCTCTGGGGCTCTTGGACGCCTTGCGGTGGTGCTTCTGCTGCTGCTGCTGGGTGTCTGTTGATGCCGCGTGGAGAGCGGCCGAGTGGCCGGCACAAGGGTCGCATCCGTCCTGCTGGTGGAGGCCTATGGTCTTGTCCAGACGATTGAAGACCGCGTAGAACTGACAGAAGATGGGCAAACCCAATATGAACACCTTTCCTGAAAGAGAGAGAGAGAGAGAGAGAGAAGACAAGGGCAGGTGTGTGTGAGGCCATTAGGTCTCTCCCTCTGCCTGTCTGTCTGTCTGTCTGTATGTCTCACCCATGTTTGCGCTATCCATGTCGAGAGAGATGAAGGCCGGCACACATACCGTCACTTCCTTCCTGCAGGAGCAAAAGACCACAGACAGACAGACAGACAGACATGATGGCACCCACCCTATGTGTGTGTCACCTTCCTTACCTTCTAGCTCCATTCTTGACCAAGTCGAAAAATCCATGGTACTCGACTACCTCGGCCGGGAACTTGCCTGACACAAAGGGATACAGAGAGAGAGACGCACATGGGCCTTCCATCCATCCACACCCCCACTGCATTTGGCCTTCTGGTGGTGCACTCACTCGCCCCCCCGCCCCACTGACCCATGTAGTGCTCTGGCGGCAGCTCCAGCTTGTGTCCGCCGACCTCTATGAAGATATTCGGGAACTTGTCGAGAGAACGGCACCCCTGACACGAATGACAAGAAAGAAATAGACGCAACGAAAGGCCCTCCCCTCCACGAGTACTGATGCTGATGTTGTATTGAGTTGTGTTGTGCTGTGTTTTCTTGCCTCGTCGATGCCGTCAGACTCCGGCGAGAAGGTTGAGAGGTGGTGCAGCAGGGAGCTGACGGCCTCCTCTGGGCCTGTCAACAGAGACGTCCCCGTGTCTATCACAGCACTGATGCGGACAGAACACACCACACCACACCACACATCCATCCATCCATCCTTGCACCCAACCGTTCATCCATCTCTCTCTCTCTCTCTCTCTCACCCACAGAAGTTGCCGTTGCTGTCGGCACTGTGGCAGGATATGGCTTTCTCAGTCCCGTCACTCAGGCGCAAGCCGATGCCCGTCATATTCACCGCCCAGTGCACCTTCCCCTGCACGTCGAGGGTCTTGAACAGCCCAGGGCACTTCTGCTGCGCGTTGTCGTTCCACGTGAGATACCCCGGGGGCGTGGCAGATGCCGGCAGATTGCCTGACGGGACCTCGATGGGCCCTCCTGGGTTTCCCTGCAGGCTCCGCTGATCGAGGACGATGGTCTCGTGTTGCTCGTGGGTTTGGTGCATCTTCTTGTCCTTGGTGTTGGCTTGTGGGGCGGCTGATTTGTCGATACAGAAGCTGACGGTGTGGACGCCCATTTGGGCGAGCATGTTCTCGTCGTCGGGACGGCTCCAGGGCATGCCAGCGATGGCCGTGATGTTGGCCGCCTCCAAGGCGCTGACTGACCAGAGAGAAGGAGACAGAAGGAAACAGATGCAGACATCCATCCATCCATCCAATGGACATTCTTGCCTCCCTTCCTCCCTCTCATGTGTGTGGGTGCTCACTTGTGTGGTCAGCAATCTGCCACACGGGGAAGGCCTCTTTGGTGACGAGAGAGCACTTGGCGGCCTCGAGCTTCATCGTTCCCTTCGGCTTTGGGCAGCTGTCAGGGATCACCACCTGGTCGAATCCCTTGGTCGCATGCACAATCCCACTCCCGAACTTGACCATAGCCTCGTTCTTGTCGTCCGCCTTGTCGGCCGGCTTGAACGTTTTCGACTTGGTGGCGTCGAACACATCCGAGCCGCTCTGCAGACAGGCTTCACACTGTCTTGAACTGACCATAAGGTCAAAACTCCCCGTGTCAAACACGCAGTTGAGGGCCTGCGGGGGGTCTCCCACGGCCAAAGGACCAACCATTACAGCATTCTCGATGTTTCTCAGCTGCTGCTGCAGCGGCTCCCGGGATTTGCCGTTGGTATTCATGCTGATCCGCTCCGTGCCGTCCCACTGCACGCGGAGAGCGCCACTGAATGGCCTCAGCCACGAGGCAATAGCGACTGTGAATAGAAAGGCCCGCCGCATTGGGAGCGTTGATATCATATTGGTGTTGATGGGATGGATGGATGGAGAGATGCCGCACTAGCTGAGGAAGACAACAGAGAGGAGGGCTGTGGTGTTATGGGTGTGATGGCACACATACCTGGCGGAACTGCGGTTCAGGTGGGCAGATGCATCTCACACAACGGACGCGTCATTGGCGGCGAAGATCGCGTTCGGCGAGGATAGGTGTTGGGTTTTGATAGCAGGGTTTGTCCACGTTTAGCTCGCAGACCGCTCCCGGCGTCTCTCTATTTCGTGCTTCGGTGAGCGTTGGCAGCTCTTGTCAAGCTGCCTGCGTTCGTTTCCCCTTGGTCGTGCAGACAGTTGAGTTGTACCGACACTCCACGACTCTGCAGGCAAAGACACGAGGGAGGTCGTGGAGAGGCAAAGGGGACGCAGGGAGGGACATTCACAAATGTCAATCTCTGCCTCCTGTCTTGCATTGTGTGCCCCTCAGGTGACGCAGGCATCTTGGTCAGACACCTGCAGCAGCAGTCCCCTCTTCCCCAGCGGCACTCTCTCCAGCCCTCCACCGTCCTTCCAGCGACCCACACCTACCCCTAACCACCCGATGAGCCGGCAACCAACAGCATGAGCCTGAGAAACGGTCCACCACGCCACCCCAAGCAACTTGCTGACCGTCTCTCATTCACCCCATCAGTGCGTCCATCCGTGATGGTCCATACGAGGAGCGGCCGGGACGTGCCAGTGCCTCCCCCTCGCGAGCGACCTCCAGACCATCCCAAGCGTCTGGCTGACTTCCCGCCTGACCAAGAAGGCAAACACAAGAGGCGTCGATATCGTCTTGCCCTCGAGGACTTTCTGGCTGGTGATGCCGGAGCGCCAAGCAGCAACTCGTCCAACGCTGGCAGTGATGAGCGTCAAGTAGTGCTCAACGACCGCTCGGTGGCCATCATCTTTCCCGCCGACACGAATGAGGCCAGCGAGAGGTTAGTGTGTCGGCTTCTGCGGCGGAACATCACAGGGCGTGACGTGTCGAGGCTGATCCAGCAGGGGGCGGATGCAAGTCTGCGAGTGAGAATCACCCGCATGCGGATCCCAAAAATGTCGAGTTGGAGGAGACGTTCTAGATTGGACGAGTTGGAGTTGGGTTTGATTGATTTGGCGATTGACGATCCAACAGGCAAGCCGTGGGACAAGGGTAACATTACATTCATATCATTCGTGTGGCAATTCTCGATGCCATCAGGTGGATGCCCTGGTCTGAACTGGCAACACACGAGGCAGACGAAGGCGACCGGAGTTCCCGTTGTGCTTCCGATGTGGCCATCTCGCAAGCGACAGAAGCACATCGTCAAAGCCTTGATTGCGGGAGGAGCACGTGGTGACAAGGAGTTGGTGACCATGGCCTTCCACAAAGCCAACCTCGCGGCTTTGGATGGTATTCTCAGCGACAATCCCATTGTTGACGAGCACATATTGTTTTTTATTGATGAGGAGCACACGCCTTGTCCGCCCGAGGATGTGTATGAGCAGTACTTCGACGCGCTTCTCCCGTGCATCCGCCGCTTGTTGAAGCACAAACGCAGCCTGGCGACTGACTTTTACTATGACGGGACATATCAGCCCATCCACGGGATCGTGGACCATGCATGCTTCACTATGAACTTCGCTCGTGGATTCTATGAGCTCCTCTATGAGTTCGGCGCTCCCCTCAACAGTCGGGGCGGCGACGACTGGGATGACCGAGAGGACCGCGTGAGGCCGATCGATCAGGCATACCTTGTCGACGAGCCCCGGCTGCTGGAGTTTCTCTGCAAGCATCTGCCGGCGAGTGTCCTGATGGAGGAGGGTCCTCAGCTGATGCGTTGCTTCAGTCGCGATATCAGGTGTGCGCTGGAAGAGCCGCTGGCGACCGAGGGAAGGGCGAGAGAGAAACGAGAGAAAACTATCGAGATGGCCAAAGAGAAGACTCGACTGCTGCTGCGCGCTGGCGCGCCTCTGCCAGCTGAAGAATCCGATCCGCCCTCGACTGAGGAAGGAGACGCAACAACCAAGGCCATCGAGCGTCGGCGCAAAGAGAAGATTCGACTGCATTGGCGCGCCGACGCGCCTCTGCCAGCTGAAGAATCCGATCCGCCCTCGACTGAGGAAGGCGACGCAGCAAACAAGACCATCGAGCGTCAGCGCGAGTGCGAGATTGTCAAGCATGAGTATGTGCGCATCCTCAACGCCATTCCTGATGAGGTCATGAACGCCGTCAACGCTGCACTCAGGCCCCAACGTGAGATTGCCGCTCTGCTGACCCATCTGCTGCCCCTCACGCCTCACAATGACGGCCCACCCAACGACCCCGTCCCCTCCCTCCTCCATTTCGGCCCACAAGAGGCAGCGGGCATCGCATGGCGGATCGCCGCACTTTGCTTCGACAGAGACACTGCACACCAGACCGTCAGCGGCATTCAACTACGCTCCCACGGCAGACTCGGCCATCGCGTTCATGAAGCCATGGACCACTTCGTCGCGTCTGCTGTATTTCACGCGAGTGGCAACACGGAGGTGGTGGGGGGCAGTCGAGAAGCGGACGGCCAGGTGGTGCATGCCCCACCACTGCGGTGCTTTTCCGCTGAGGTCGGCCAGCAGGGAAGGAGGCCTTTCGGTCTGCGAGAGGTGGTCCACAAGGCGCGGCTGGACGAGGCGGAGGAGTACGGCCTCACGGGCGTCATCAAGGGCTTCAACGAGCACCTCGGCGATGCCGATTGTCAGTTCGAGTGGGACGGGCTGGGTTTTGTGGACGAGGTGGGTGAGTTTGAATCGCTGGCTGCTCGTTTTGAGGTGCCTGCCATCGAGGAGGATAATGGTAGTGACTCAGAGGATGATGACTCGATGTCTGATTGACATGAAAGATCGAAAGGAAACGGTGCGTGGGCAGAGTGCATGGTTTGTGTTGGATTCTGGATTGCACAATTAGCATGGCAAAGCACTAATCTGAAGCTGGTCGCGGCCGTACGATGGACGTCTATATTTGAATTAATTCGTCGGATGTCTTGTATGTCTACGTGACGAACATGCATAAATATTCGTCTCGCATCAAGCAAGACAGCACATAAAGAGCGAGGCCACAAAAACGCTGCACATACACACGAACATAACCTACTGACGTACGCAGACTGCGGCGTATAGACGGACCGACCGGCCGATGGATGGATGGATGTGGATCACTCACTAACTCACTCACTCACTCGGCTGCAAACAAACCTTTTCGGCGTCTCTCTTGTCGCGTCGCATCCGTCGCATTTTGCCATAAATGTCACTCATCGATAAATAAATACGGACTCATCAAGACAGCACTCACTCACTCACTCCATCACTCACTCGGTCACTCAAAAATGTATCTAACCTCGGAGTAGGGCTGCCGACACCTGACACACATTGCACACACACACGGGGGCTGCCCAGTGTGTGCCGGTTGCCAGCCATTGGATCGCATTGCGTACGTGTGTTCAGGGCAGAGTTTGTCTTCGGTCGGCATGGGAGCCATCCACTTCTCAAAACACTCCTGACACACAACCTGACAGACACACACAGACGACACACAGACCTTCACTACAAACTCGCTGCCATCTCCTCTTCGACTCACTTTATGTCCGCAGGGCAGCAGGATGATGTCTGGCGGGTTCTCGAGACACAGCTGGCACTTGCTCACACTCGACCCAACACCACCACTGCTGCTGCTGCTGCTGGACGATGGCGCAGCACAGGGGCCGTTTGCGTGTGGCGAGCTGCTGCTGCCACTGACTGGTGGTGGTGGTGGTGAGCCATTGTTGATACAGAAGGGCATAGAGGGCGCGGCGGTGTGGGTGGGGACAGCTGCTGCTGCTGTTGACGATGATGAACAGGAGGGCGATGTGTGGTTGGGCTGCTGCTGGTGGCGTAGTTGTATTTGTCGCTCGATGGCGGCCTGGTGGAGCTGAGTGAGTCGGTGCTGCTCAGACGTCAAGCCATCCAGCAGCTGACGCACCGACGGCAGATCGAGAGACGACATACCTTCAGTACTGACACGACTGCAACACAGACAATGAGGGCGAGACGACAGGTGCACGGCTGCTGTCGGTGTGTGTGTGTGGTTGCTGACCTGTGTGGTGGTTGTGCCGACGACAGCTGTTGTTTGAGCGTGAGTATCTCCCGCCTCAGCGGCGCCTCCGCCTCGCGCAGCCGACTCAACTCGACGTCTTTCTCCTGATCTACACGCGCTGACCTGCGCACACACCACGCACATGACATCAGCAGCGTCTGACTCGTTGGTATTCTCTCCCTCCCTCTCTCTCTGGTTGGCCGGCTGACCTGAGTCGTTTTTCCCTCAGCCGCTGCCTCAGTTGGTCCCTCTTGCGCGTCACGTCGGCCAGGGCCCTGTCGGCCTCCCCGCGCACCTCAGTCTCTCGCTGCTCGATGGCCATCCGGTGCTGCGCCCTCAGCTCCAAAATGGCCGACCGGTGCTCGCCACGCAAAGCATCCAGCTCCTCTCTGTGCTGCTTGGTGACGGTGTCGGTCTGTGTCTTGGCGGCCTTGTCGGCCTCCTGGCGCACCTGCTGGCTCACCCGACGCACACGGTCGTCAGCACTGCACACAGACAGACAGACAGACAGGGAGGGAGGGATGGCGCGTCTGTGTAGTGCGTCGGTGCTAACGTCTCTTGTGTCTGTTTGATTTGTTTGTCTTTGTCTTTGAGGATATCCTCGAGAGTGCTGCGCTGCGCGTCGGCCGCCTTTCTCTCCTTCTCAGCCATTTTCTTCGACGCAGCCGACTCACTGGTCAACCTACACACACATGTTCCCACACACGGTGTGGGCGTACGGATGGCAGTCAATCAACTGCTTCCCCCCCGTCTCTCTGGTCACCTCTTGACATCGTCTTGGAGTCGTTTGATGGTCCCGTTGAGTCCATCCTTCTCCTTCGTGTGTGTGTCCTCGGCCGTCTTGAGTTTCTCGTGCGCGGCCGCGAGCTCCCTCTCCAGTCGGGCACACTTGTCTGTCAGTTTGTCGATCTCGGCCTGCGGCTCATCGGGGGCGCGCCGGCCAGCAGTGGGAGTGGTCGACTCATCCCTGACAGACACACACATATAGGGTTAAGTGTGTGGCGTGGTGCGGATCGTTGTCGCTCAGTTCACTGTGTGCGTGCGGTCGTCGCGTCTCCTGTGTGCGTGTCCGTGCGTGTGGCGGCATCGGGAGGCGATACTGATGCCGCCGAGCTGCAGGTGATGTCCACAGTGTTTAGAGGATGCAACTTGTGTGCGATCGCCTCTCGTATGACCTTACTTACCCAAGTGTGTTCAAGGCCCTTGTGAGCAGGCCCCAACTGCTGTGGAAGTGGACGGCTGGCCCCGGCTGCAGAGATAGCACGTACCGACGCCTCTGCAAGTGTCTATCTGTCTGCCTGTCTGCGAGGCCCTCACTTGGCCGCTGGCTGCGCCTCAAGCGCCTCTCCACAAGGCATGAATTGGTGTTCCCTGCATGAATCCCATAGACGGGCGAGCTCGGTCGGGTCGAGGTCGCTGAGCTGATCGACTGCATCGTGGTCCACATTGGTCAGGTTGCCGACTGCCGATTCGAGCTCCTTCGAGAGCAGCTCGTCCAGCCCGAAGGAAAAGACACCTCCATTATAGCGGCGCGCGAGGCGGGTAGCGACAGCAACCAACGCCGCAGCTGACACGGAAACCTCCTGCACATAGAGGAAAGAAAGACAGAGGGGCCATGACGAACTGATTGAGCTGGCTGCTTGCTGGTAGTGGCTGCGCACCGAGCCCGACTTGACGAATGCGATCGCACTGCAGGCTATATCAAAGATGTAGTCCAACCAATATCTCCAGCCGTACTTCTGAAACATACAGGACGGCACATTGAACCACCTCACAGCACAGCCCGCCACATCCATATGTGTGCGGCCCTCACCTCCTTGTCGACCCCAGGCACCCACTTCTCCAGGTCACTGATGGAATGAGGCCGGCCCTCCTGATACATGCGGGCGTAGTCGGGATGAGGATACGGCAACCGGAACAGGCGTGACGACGGGTGACGTCGCAGCGCTGCCGTGGCGGCCTGTATGTCCTCCTTCAGCTGATCCTCGTCTATAGCCATTGCCGCCAGCGACGTCGAGGTACTGCACACATGGACAGCAGGCGACATTATCATGACACTCTATCGATGCCTCTTCCCCTCCGCCCGGCTCACCCGTTGGTGCCTTTCGGGACCCTAGTGGTGGCGGCCCCGAGTTCCTTCTGCATGAGCTGCTGGCCTTTGCTGAGCTCACTGACGAACGTCGTGTGCCACTGGGGCAGCCACTCGCCACGCACATGCCGCAGCGGACCCAGCGCAAACACGGCCGACGGATCGCTGCACACACACAGAGCGCATGACACTCGTGTCAGCCACTGGTTGAGATGCCTATTCTCTTGGGTGACCTTTGCAGTGCTGTGCGGTGGTCCATGAAGAACTTCTTGACGGCCCGGCGGTAGGTCTCCCGCACCTGGGCCGCATCGCACTCACTCGACTCGACACAGCTGACACCACCACCCTCCACCGCCCCTCCCTTGTGCTGCAGGAAGGCCTTTACGACGGCCAGCGTCTCACTGGAGGGCTGTTGGCCTCCCTCTGTGCCTGATGTGACGGTGGCGATGTCGGGGAAGGCCTCATGGATGGACTCAACCGTGACAGTGGGTGTGGCTTTGCTCGGCGGGGTGGGCGGCTGGGTGGATGTCGGCTTGGGCTTGGGAGCGGTCGGTGCCGATTTGGGTGGTGTGGGTTTGGTCTTGTCCTTGGCCGTGAAGATGCCTCGGAAGATGCTGCTGGTGGCCGGCGAGTTGCGGGAGGGTGTGCTGCTGCTCGATGCACTCTTCGGTTGGGGCGAGGGGACAGTCTGCGTGTCGGAAGGGGGCGACAGGAGGCTTGAGAATGTGGCCAGCACATCCACAGGGGTAAGATCAGGCCTGTACACACACACATATGGACAGAAACACTTGACCCTGGTTGCGCGTCGCGCACCTGATTGGATCCTTCTTCGCCGACTCGACGCGATCCAGCGCGCATGGTCCGCACATGAGCGACCCTGTGGCACTCTCCACACACAGGCCCGCCGGCGCCGCCCGAATGTACTGGGCGTGTGCATTGAAAACCAACTCGTCGTTGAGGTCATCGAAGGCGAGCGTGTGCACCAGAGGAATGGTATCCACTGGGCCCTCTGAGCTGCCCGCACACGGCTCGCCGCACCGACCACAGGTCTGTGTCCGCGACTCGGCCCGCAGGACGCACACCGAGTCGGCCGATCCCGTCGCCAACAGGGCCAGCACGGCGGCAAATGGCCACTCTGTGAACGCCTTGGTGACGTACTCGTCCGCCAGGCGGACCATTCCTCTCTTGATCCGCAGGGTCTCGGCGTCGCTCACGCATGCCACATGCGACTGCCGCTGACTTGCATCGGTGAGCCGCTCCTTGTGCCGTGCCGATGTGGGCAGGTGCTCCATGACTTGGGCATCGAGATAGAAGGCCATGGGGAAGGCGGCCCCCTTGCTGACCCCCCGCTCGGCCAGGTAGTGGGTGTAGTAGTCGTACAGCGACTCGCACGCCAGCGGCTCAGCTGTGTCGGCCCACCAATGCACACCGACAGCATAATGCGCTCCACCTTCGATACGCATTCCAGGGCAGATCGGGGCACATGGAAAGTCAGCGGCAGAGTGGTGGTCATCTTGACGCCACCGAGTCTGCTGATGTGCCCCTCCTGGTCGACAGCGAACCACTCGCGCGTCTCGAGGGCGGGGTTGGCCGCAGCGGGGTGGCTGAGCAAGGGGTTGCGGTTGCTGACTGAGTCGTCCTTGAAGGGTCCGAAGGCGATGATGCGCACCCTGGTTCCATCGGCCGTGGACGGGGAGTGTGCCATCCAGAGTCCCCCCATGTTGCCGTCGGGTCGCGGGTAAACCAGCCGCTTGAATACGTTTTTCTTGCCCACGTAGGCGATAGTCTCCGGATGAGTCCAAAGCAGCGTCTTCTGCTCTTCCTCTGTCGGGCGGAGCAGGTAGGTGCCGTTGATGACCGGCGCGCCGCTCACAGTGAGACTGCCGTGCCGCCGACCGCCCGTGGGATCCACGGTGCGGCACTGGTCGAAGTAGCCACGATACGTCGCGTGCCACGCAGACTCCCTCTCTGTGCCGCCCTGCGTCGGCGACTTCGGGGGACCTTGGTCGAGACGGAAGAAAAACAGCAGATCTCGAATCGGGTCAGCTGTGCCGACAGTGTCGTCGACAAATGTCCGCAGATGAGTCTCCAGGTATGTGTAGTCGGGTGGCCCTTGCTGCACCAGGGTAGCCACCGCCTGACGGGCAAAGTCATAGAAGTTGTCGCCTGCGGCGGGGAGCGGCGGCAGGGTGGCGTCAGCTGTGCTCGAGGCGTCTTGTTCTTGAATGCGGCGGCGGCGGATGTCTTGCATCGCCTTGACGAAAGCCACACTGTCACGCTGACAGCACAGAGGCAGCCAGACAGGCAGAGAAGAACATACAGTCAGCCAAGCTCGCTACAGACACACACGTATCTGTTTGTGCATGAAACGGACCTCCATCTGCTCGGCAATACACTCAAGGGCCGCAACGATGATGTACCACAAGTGCCGACAGCAGAGTGTCTGATGCTTCCCGTCGCACGAGACCAGCTCAGCCTCTTTCTGGAGGCTGGCAGCTGTCGCCTCCATGGGCCTGCTGTTGCCGGCCTTAGTCAGCCCCTCAGACAGCTGATCGAGCTGCACACACTCCAACACCTGCACACACGCACACACGTACGTCCATGTGATCTGAGTGGAAGCCATCGGTGCAGCAGATGCACAATCCACTGACACGCCGACCTGGCCAACGATAACGCGTCTCAGTCTGAAGACAGGCTCGAAGGCAGTGTCCGTGAGCTTCTGGGCGAGTTCCTCAAAGACCGCTCGCAGGTCCACACCGCACTCCCATGGACCCTCCCGCGCCAGCAGACCCCTGACGTACTGAGTGCTGCCAAAGGCCGACTCGATGCTCACAGGGCCACTGGCTCCCACAACAGCTGTCGCGGCCTGAGGTGTCCCTTTGGACTCCTCATCCGCCCCAGCAGGTGTCGGTGCCTGACAACGAGTGGTCCCGTCTTGGTCGGAATCGTCGTGGCCGGGTGTGGCAGAAGGTGTTGCGGGGGCGGGTGTCGATTTGTCCTTGGCAGGGACGTTGGGCATGTCACGAAAGGAGTCGCGAACCGCCATGACACTGACAGGGGGAGGAAGGACAGACACCAGGTCAATGCGAGCGCGTATGTGTGTGCAGTGGGTCTCTTCTTGCCTTGTTTCATGCCCAGAGGGCTGAGCGGCGGCCGCTGCTGGATGAGTGGCATCCGTTGCATCATCGTCGTCCGAGGCGGCAGATGAGGCACCGTTCCTGCATACAGGAAGCCATGGATACATCAACAATCCCACAACATCAAGGCAGTCAGTGCGTGTGCATGTACCCTTGGGCACGTCCTGAGAGCAACGTCATGACGTACTCCGTACACCAGCATTTGCCGCAGATCGGCTCCTCTGAGGACGCCCTCTGCGTCCACACTCCCACTGTCTTGTCCAAATATGCGAAGTCTTGGTCAGAGGTCTCAGGTGAAAATAGCGCGTGCAGGAGGGGCATATCGCCGAGTGTGCTACCGTCCGGCTGGGCGTCACACAAGGCGCATTTGGTGCTGACCGAGACCTCCAGCCGCACCACAGCAACACGGCCGCCCTCGAAGCGTCCCCCAACCATCCCGCCACCACCCGGCAGCAGTGCCAATGCTTTGAAGGGCCACTGCGTGAAGGGCCGTGTGGTCCACTCGTCCGACAAACGCATCAGGCCAAGTCGACGGATGGTTGCCTCACCGTCACGTAAACACAAAGACCGCTCTCCCATCGGACCGGTAATGGGCCGCACTGAGGCGACATCGGTGACGGGCTCAGGGTTGTGTGCGGATGGCGGAAGGTTTTCCATGACCTCAGGGGATACGTAGTACGCTAGCAGCTGTGTGTCTGGCACTTCGGCGAGAGAGTCGGCAGAATCGCTGATGGCCGTGCACATCAACGATGCGCCTCGAAAGTGAAGAAGGGCCGCAACCAACAAAAGGTCCGTCGGACTGAAGGCCGAGCGGCAGACGTAGAAGTCGAGTGGGAGGGCAGCCGAAATGCTGAAATCGACCTTCACGAGCCGAGCCCCATCATCAACAGTGTACCACTGGTCCGTCTCGAAAGCGGGCGATGGAAGGGCCGGGTGCGTTGCGAACGACCCATGTCGTATGTCGCTTTTGTGGAGACCGACGGCGAGCAGCCGAGGGGTCGATCGCGCCTCTGTTGCTGGCTCATAGGCCACCCACACGCCTCTTGGCCCATCCAGCGTGTCTTTGATCGGGACCACCAGCCGCTCGAAGACCACCCCCTCGCCCACGTAGGCGAAAGCAGCACCATCTGGCGGCGCCACGAGCCTCGCCTGCTCCTCGGCTGTGGGGCGGATGACATAGCTGCCGTTGAGGGCCGCGAGTGAGCCAGTGGCGCCGCTCACGGTGAATGAGCCAGCACGCTTGTGGCCATCTCCCTCTCCCAGTGCACAGTCAGCCGCCACATACTCGTCGACGAACATGTCCCACGTGTAGGAGCCCGCTGCGGGGATCGGCCCTTTGTCGAGTCGGAACAGCTCCAGCAGCCTCATGAGGCCGTCAGGAGGGAGCAAACGGGCCTCGGCGAATCGGTGGTGGGGCGACGGGGAGTGCTGTAGCACCAGCTGGACGGGGTCGGTGGCCGGGGGGAATATGGGGAGACGGGTGGCTGGGGTGGCGGATGGTTGTCTCGTCGGCTGGTTGGATGAACTCCTGGAAGACGGTCGCATTGCCTTGATGGCTTGGGCGAACGAATCGAAATCAGCCTGATCGATACAACAACGAAATGGCAATGCATGAGTGAAGCCACGCTCCTTGCCGCTTCCTCCCTTGCTCACCTCCAGCTGGTTGGCAACGTCCTCGATGAGGGTCACGAGAAACCGCCACATCTTGACCGACAGCACCCTCTGCAGATACGCCTCAGACGCCAGCTGCTCAGCCGCCTCACGCACGGCCCTCACGCACACGTCGAGCCTCCCATCCCTGCTGGCCTCCCACACCATGTCAAGGCGAATTGCCTCGTAGACGCGATTACAAAGAAGCCACCTCAGCTGGTAAGATGTGCTTATGCAACTCTGGTGGTTTGCCAGCTGTCGCACGTCGCTGAAGATGGCCTCGATGCTGATTGGGCAAGTGGCATCTGGTGAAAAGATGAGGCTGCTGGTGCGAGCTGCATCCGCCAGGAGCTCGGCCAAAGGTGCAGACTTGTCGGGCCGCAGCGACTTGACCATGGCTGAATTGCGGGTCTCCACAGGTGGTTTGTCTGATGCAGTCGATGGAGCTGCCTCATCAGCCTCACGACCATCCTGACTCGCATCAGGAGCAGCACCACGCTTCTTGGCCTGATGCGCACACACACAAGCACACTTGCCCATGCCCGATGAGTGTCTGTGCCTTCTCGTCTCGTGTGTACCTTTTTGGCCCTTTTCCTCTGTGCTTTCGATGTGGACTGCACTGCGGCCGTGTCCATCACACCGCTCTGCGCAGATGCCGATGAAGCGGCAGGGACGTCTTCGGCGCCTTCTAGTCACACAGGCGGAAGAAGCAGCAGATCCGCCTCGCCGTCGGCTGCAACAGAAGCCACAAGCAGCGCCTCGGAGGGTCATGGTGTGATCTGTGACAGCGGTGTGTTGCCTCACCTGCTGATGTTATTGTCGCAGGCGACGCGACTTTTGAGTGAAGGGCCGCACGTGTGAAGCCACGGCACACATAAAGGGAAAACCGGCTTAGCTTGCAGTTCGAAATAGTGACCGCCTGCTTCAGAGGGGCGTTATTGCACAACACTCAACCAACCATTGCAATGGATTGCTTCACTGATTGACAATTGATTCACCCAAAAAGTTCATACAATCGTCAATTCGTCGGTCCGTTTGTCTCCGAACCACCGCCTGCTGGCTGTGCTCCCTCCATCCATCCATCAGCACTTTCGCACGTACCGTCTGTGTGCTGCCTGGCCGCCTGGCTGCCTCTCTGCCTGGGTGTCACCACGTGAGTGAGTGATTCAGAAAGAGTGAGTCGTGCTGCCTTAGCCATTCGGAGGCATCACCACACACACACACGCACACACGCACAGACAAGAGAAGAAAAGGGAAGACCAGCGAGGACAGGACGAGACCAAGGTAACAGGAGAAACAAGGTAGGTTGGAGGTCGTGCTGTGTGTGCTGAGCTGTGTGTGCTGAGCTGTGACGTGATTCCTTCATTCATCCATCAGCCATCCATCGCATAATCAATCCGCCCATTCCATTGACTAGTGATCACTCCACATGCACCACGCAATGCAGCACACACACACACACACACACAAGACAGTTAGCAAGACAAGACAGTCGGACGGACGGACAGGCAGCGCACAAACTTCGTAGTTGGCACAGCTGGCTGCCTGTGGAAACGCTCCCATTCCATTCCCGAAGACGCAATCAACATTCACAGTCACGTCACGCAAGCAACTGTGGTTGATTGATGGACAGACATGCACAGTGTCTCGTCAGCTTTTGTTTTGTCTGTGCCGAAGTGTGTAAGTGCGTGGCGCTCGCAAGAAGGCCACACTCCACACAAAGCACCACAGCGCACCAAGCGTGTGCCTCCGTGAACCGCGTTTGTCAGTTGTCTGCTCATATGTCTGTTCATTTGAGGCCACTGCGGGGCAGACGGGGTAGACATAGATCGATGGCGACAACGAGCTCTGCAGTGCCTGAGCCATCCGACACACACAAGAGTGAGAGTGTGGATTTACTATTCGTGTGTCTCATTTCGATGACTGACCTTGGTGATGGGCAGAGTGTGTTGTGGCTCCTCACTGGCATCCGCTTAGACGAACACATCTGCAGAAGCAGGCATCACACACACGAATGAGGAAACTCGATTGATAACCCACCCACCTGCGTGTTTGCATGACAGCTGGAGGTCTGCGTCTGTGTGGGTCGACGGCAGCAGGACGGTGTTGGCGCCCTCACTCACGTCGGGCGAGCACTCGTGGCCGTTTGCCCATCGGACGCACAGCTGGCAGGGGGAGACCTCCGCCCAGCAGTCGATGGGGGCGGTGCTTCTGCACACCACATCGAAACTCACCAACAAGTCAGCCGCCAGCTGCCAGATACTCTGATGAGACAGCAACAAGACACGCAGGCAGGCAGTGAGCGAATGAGACGATCTTCTGTCTGTATCAGGTCACTCACATTTACACCGCAGACGAGGCCGATAGACACCATCAATCTGAACAGCACTGACATGGTTCTTTCTTACCAGTGAATGAAACAGTCGCACACAAACAGCCGATGTGTACACACACGTTACACACATCTGTGTACACGTCTGTTTGAGAGGAAGGGAAAGACAATCAATCGACCAGCCAGCCAATCAGACAAGGATCAGGCCGAGCATGATGGTGTCGTCTCGCGCGTGTCTCGCTGCCGCTGCCACGTGTCTGGCTGTGTCGCTGGTGGCGTGTGACGGCGCCCTGCCCCTGGCACAGCGTCTGCTGTCGCCCTTGACCTCCAACCACCCCCTCTACCGACTCGACTACCAGGACGTCCGCCAGGCCAGTGAGCCCGTCCCCGTGCGAATCGCATACACCGTGCCCAAGTATGGCGCCAAAGACCTCGACAAGGCACTCAAACAGGCGTCAGACACATCAGGTCAACGACAGACAGAGACACATCCATGAGGTGGCATGCGGCCACGTGTGTTGGCTGGATGAGTGTTTGTGTCCAGTCTTGCTGGCGGAGCGGATGCGCGAGCGTCGCCGCGAGGACAACGACCGCCGCTATCGGCTGCTGCACTCACTTCGCGAGATCAACCACGCCATGGCCCGCATCAGACAAGCCGCAAAGGTAAGGTATCACCTGCACACACACACACGCAGAGAGCCATACCTGTCTTGTCCACTTGTGGTGTGCCTGTGTCGTTACCAGGTGTATGGCGCTGACGAAGGGGAGGCTGAGGGAAATTTCATCGCCACACCGGAGGCCATCGTCAGTGACGCATACAGAAGACAGCTCACTGGACTGCCGTGAATGAATGAATCAGCCAATGAATGAGTGGTGGGTGGATGGATGGAACGACAGACAGACAGACACGGAAGAGAGATGACACCGCAGGTGACTGACTGACTCACAAACCGACCAATTAAAGGCAGGATACTCGCGAAACGAAAAATGCACAGCTCGAGGTGTCGTTTTGGTACCAATACGTCCTCTTAATGCAATTATTGTGTTTATGTCTGTCAGTCCGCACCCCACGCTGCCTGTTCCCCATATCATATGCCATGTAGCATGTACAGCTGCGTTTATCGACCAGCTTATTGCGCTGTGATGGGCTGCGGCCGTGTCACCTGCATGGTGCTGTTGATCGGGGGAAAGCCGTAGTAGGGACTCATCGAACTCTGCAGACCTCCGTAGCCACCGTACGTCGGCAGATAGATTGTGGGCTGCATGGGCAAGTGATATCCACAAGGAGACACATACGCATGCACACAATGAGTGCCGAGCAGTGCGTTGCGTGCCCTGTTGTGTGTGTGCGGTGCGCTCTGCTTACCCTGGCCTGGAAGTGGATGTTCTGGTACATGTCTGGTGTGACGCCCGGCGGCAGGGTGGTCACCATGGGCTTGGGAGGCCCTGCCACCTCCGGCTTCTCATGCTTGACTGGGGCCACCTGCGGCGGCACTGCAGGAGCCTCTTCAGTGATGGGAGCCAACACGGGAGCCGCTACCGCTGCAGAGAGACGGGGAGAGAGGGAGGCAGTCAGGGGTGGTGTGAGTGAGTGTCCTTCGTGCTGTCTGTGTGATGCCCACGTTGCATCAGCATGTGCTGTTTTGGGTTGGCGGACTCGTTGTAGCTGAACTGGAAATACTGATCCATGCACGGCATCATGGTCGATCTGCATTACAAGTGGATGGATGACGCACAGAAAAGGGGAACGACATGAATCTGTGGATGCCTGTGTAGATACCGGATCCGATTGCCGATGTCGCAAGCCCGCTTGAACGCCTCATCGTAATTGCCGGCATAGCCCATCGAGCGCAGCGCACTCTGCATGCAATACGACAACGCACCTGCCGAAATGCAGGACACAGGACATCATCACACGTATAGGTCATTTCATTCACGGCTTGTGACCGTGCGAACCTTGCTGTTGGCCCTCGAGCATGGCGTCGAGCGACGTCTGCTCGTCGCGGCACCCCGAGATACAGTAAACCACGGTCCCTGGGGCGAATGGCGTCTGCACACACAACGACATGGCCACAATCCATCCCTCCACCCACACTGCCGTCTTTCCTCTTTCTCAGACCGATTTCTTCTTGAAGAGGTTGAATGCGCGGCAGACGGTGGCGAGAAAACCAGATCCGGGCGTCGTTGGCGAACGACGGGGAAGCGCTGCAAGACAGACCCAGGCAGGCAGAGACGCATATGCTCGGTATCAATGGGTGTATTCTCTAGTGCTGTGTGTCTCCACGGCCGGCTGACCATGGAGTGCGCGTGCAGTTGGGTCGAGCCACGCGCGCATGTCGGGGCAGTCTCCTTCGATGAGCTTGGGGACCCTCTTGCCTCGGGGTCTGCGGACCTCCACCCCCCTGGGCTCGCCCTTCATGCGCTGGACGGAGAGGAACTTGTGACCCGAGTCGAACGAGAATTTGGTGTCGACCATGGTGCCGCTGTGGCAGCAATCCATGACTGATCGACACGAAGACAGACCATACACACCATGCAGACAGACAGACAGACAGACAGACAGAGAGGGAATCGGATGGCTTACCGATCGTGACCATCACGCCACTGACACAGAGAGAAAGAGAGACACGAAACGAGAGAGAGGCCGCATAGCTCATTCACATGTGGCTGCATGGGCAAACTACTTGCTCACCCGGGGAGCGTGTCAAGCTTCTTGTGGATCTCGTCATCCGATATCAGTCGATACGGAACACTGACCCACCCCCACACATACACACAGAGAAAGCCAGCCGAGCCGGCTGTGTATTCTGTCCTTCCGTGTGTCTGTGCCTTCTTACAAGAGTCCCTCCGACTTCTCACAGTCCGTTGGGCAGATTGCCTCGTCGAATCCGTCATCCTCATCGCCAGAGTAGTCGGGCACCTGCGTGCCGTGACCTAAGTGAGGCAGCACTCATATGACAACGAGAATATGCATTTCACGTGCATCCTCATTTGGCTGGCATACCACTGAAAGTGAGTACGAGTACGTCTCCCGAGCGCGCCCCCTCCACGAGCCAATCGAGAGCCGCCAGCAGGTTCTTCTTGATCGGAACAGTGGGATCAGCTGACATGAACAGTCAGGCAGCCCACACAGACAAAGACGGTCAAGTCACTTCACTCCATTGGCTCCCTCTCCCTCTCTCTGCTCCTCGCCCACCCCAGTTCTTCATCACGTATTTGCCGGTGTACGGATTCGTCTGAGAGAGCATACACACAGCAGGGGAAGGGCCTCGTGGCTGCCTTGGGCGTCAGTACCTGTCCGTCGGTCATGATTTTGATGTCGGATATCCCGAATTGCGACCGCAGTATGGAGGCCCACTTCATGCAGTCGGTGATGCAGCCACGCAACTCAGCATCCGTACCAGGGTAGTTGCACCTGCAGCACAGCAAGGGAAGAGGGCCAAGGCCACACATACACTCACAGTCAAGTCCCTCCCCTCCCGCCTTTGCCCCATGCAATCAATTGTTCTGACCCGATGCAGAGGGCTCGTTTGTGAGAGGGAGGGCGAGGCGCCGGGGGGAGTGCGGGGGGTGGGGTGAAGGTCTGGTAGGCAGGCATCATGCCCTGATGATAGCCGTACCCGTACATCTTGGCTCAAACAAAGGACTGATGGACGAGGGGAAGGGAGGGGAGAGCTTCCACGTCTGCAAGCTTATCCCGCACCCTCTGTGCGAACAGAGACGACAAGGCCCCAGAGAACCCTCCTGAGAAGCTGCTACCTGCGAAATCCGCCCCAGTGCAAAGCCGTTAAGGATCGTGACCTCGTACAGAGAGAGTGCGGTGCGTGGGATCCCATATGGAGAGGTGATGGGACGGCGACAAATGTGACGCTGGAGGAGGAGCACATCGGCGACACCAACGGGACGCACACATCGTCTCTTCCGGCAACGCCGTAACAGCACCGCTACCCCTCCCCATCTCACTCCATCTGCCCCATCAGCACCCCACCACACCGACGAGGCAACTGTTTGCTCTGCAGCCACCTGGATCATTTATTCACCGTCGCGGCGGTCGGCGGGATCTCTCTCTGCTCTCTGGAGCTCACGCCGGTCCGGTCTATCGTCGATCTGTATGAGGCCGGCGTCGCCACCGTAGCCTCCGAGCGTTCGCCAGGGTGTTGGTGAGCGCTCGCGAGGCGAGCGACCCAGGCTGCAACCCTGAAGCGCTCGGCGAGGTGCGGTCCCCCCTCCCTTCTGTCCTGCTTCGGCTTCGGCTTCGGCCGGTCCAGGAAATGCCACCGCATCGCTAGCAGCACTGAGGCCGACCACGAGTGCGACGCCCCGCCGTCCCCGCCGGGGAGCGGCACCCCCCGGCCCATCCCCATCCCCACCGCCGCACCATCGCCCCTCCCCATCCCCCTCCCCCTCTCTATCCCCCTGCACACGCACCACAACTGGACCGAGCGCGACGACTGCCTCTCGTCCGAGGGCGTCTCCTCCGTCACCCACACCGTCTCGTCCCCGCCCATCGCCGGCTTCGGCAGCCTCGCGAGCGGTCGCTCTTGCATCTCGACCCTCCCGTCGTCGCCATCGCCGTCCAGCCCGCTGTGTCGGCTGGTGAGTGGCGGCAAGGAGGGGTCGTGCTCCTCACTGGGGCCGGCATCGATGTGCCACCAGAGCACGGCGCCGTCGACGTCGGCCACGAGCATCAGCATCCCTCTGACGCTCTCCCTGTCGCTCCCGCCGCGGAATCTGAACGCAGATTTCCAGAAGTATGGCTACGAGCACGTGTCGGTGCTCGGCCAGGGGCAGTTCGGGTGCTCCCACCTGGTGCGCTCCTGTGGGGACGGAACCCTCTGGGTGGCCAAGGTCATCGACCTGTCAGAGATGGACCGCGACGGCGTTGAGGAGGCGCTCTCTGAGGCGGCGATTCTGCAGCGGCTCGACCACCCGCATATCGTCAAGTACCGTGACAGCTACATCAACGAGGACGACTGCACCCTGGTAATCGTCATGGAGTACTGCGAGGGCGGGGACCTCTTCTCGGACATCGAGAAGACCTCCCGCAGCGGCAGTGGCAGCAGCGGCAGCGGCCGGTACAGCGAGAGGCAGATCCTGGAGTGGTGTTCCCAGCTGGCGTCGGCGCTCGACTACATCCACCGGCAGAACATCCTGCACTGCGACGTCAAGAGCGACAATATTTTTCTCACCGCACAGGGCAGCCTCAAACTCGGCGACTTCGGCATTGCACGGGAGATCAGACAGGTGGGTGCCACACACAACCTCCCTCCCTCCCTCCCTCCCTCCCGCACACACACTGCCCCTCTCTGTGCTATGTGTGTTTTGTCAGGGGTCAGCCTCTCTGAGTCCGGTGCGTTGTCCGCAGGGCACGCCCCACTACATGTCGCCCGAGATGGCCCACCGCGACCCTCTCACTGACAAGTCCGACTGCTGGGCGCTCGGGTGCGTGCTGTTCGAGCTGTGCTGCCTGACCCACCTGCACCCCCACCAGCACCCGCAGCTGAGGCGACGGGACGTGTGCGGGCCCAACGCCATGCGCGCAATGGGCGGGCTGGGTGAGGAGGAGTGGGACCCCTTCTCCAAGAAGGCCTTCCCAAGCGACTACTCGCTGGTGCTCAAGAGCATCGTCAAGAGGCTACTGCAGAAGGTGCGGTTGACTCAGTGTGCACACACTGACATACGGACAGACAGACAGACAGACAAGGCATTGTCTGCGCGTGTGTGTGTATAGGATTCGTCGGCCCGTCTGTCGATGGAGGGTCTGCTGCTGGAGCTGCGTCTGCAGGGCATCATCCCGCCTCCTCTCACCCCCACTCCCGCCGCCTCCCGGGCGGCATCCCCCTCCCCGCCCCAGCAGAGAGAGGGCGTGCTGCCGCACACGCCCACCCCGCCCACCATCTACCGGCTGCCGTCGCGGCTCAAAAGTGAGGTGTCTATGGGAGCTCCCACGCCTCTCGTGAGCTTCGCCGACCATGCTGCCGATGGCGATGTCATTGACAATGACCAGATAGATGGCTGCGGGGGTGGGGGAGGGGACACGTGCTGCATGTGAGGGATGAGCGGGTGCTTGCTGGACGGCTGGGGTGGGTGCGTTGATGCGTCCCTGGAAAGAGGGGACGGCACAGATGGGGAGGGAGGGAGAGGAGGAGGAGGAAGGGCGAGAGATTGGAGGGGGATGGAATGTGTGATCGGCTGAGAAGAAGATACGAGAAGAGAAGGGCATGTTTCCCTTGGGTGTTATGTTGGTGGACTGGACGGGGTGGGCTGGGACCATGGCTGTCACAATGATTGGGCAGCGCACCTAGTGAGAAAGTGAGAGAGGGAGGGGGAGGGGGGAAGGAGAATTGGTTGGATGGATGGATGGATGGGTGGGTGCATTTGGGCTGGGGCGGGCTGGGGTTGTGTGTGCATGTCAATTAAGCAGGAAGATGATGGTCCGTATGTGCCTGCCTGCACAATCAACTCACTCACTGACTGACTCACCAACACTGGACTCCCTTAGAAGGAAACATGGATGGATGGATGGATGGAAGTCGGAACAATGCAATGCGCGCCTCTGGTGTGTGTGTGTGTGGTGGGGTGGGGAGGCATATGTACTATGTCCAGCGAGACACACACACACACACACACACACAGATGAGGGAGGGAGGGACGGCTGTATGTGATGCGATGTGCGTCTGTCTGTCTGTCTTTGTCTTGTTTTTCTCCATAGACACACACACCCACCCACAACCACACACAAACCCACACACATCCATATGTATTTCTCTACCCTAACGCTCAGCTCGCTTTGTCACCTCCCGGCTAGCTCACTAAGTCTAAGTCTTCTGTTAAGTGCTTTCCAAAACATCATGAATGGTAGTCGGGAACAAACTAACTCTCTTCAGGCAATTGGATGGATGAATGGATGAATGAGTGAGCTGAGATGTATTTCTCTCCTTTTCCTGGCTGCTGGTGTTGGTGGTGGTGGTGTGTGCTGGGTGGTGGTGTCTCAATAATATGGGAGACACCCAAGGAGACACCAAGCACTGACTGCATGACACTGCATCGATGGATGGATGGATGGATTTATCCCATTCAAGCAATCGTGACGTCTGTGTGTCTCTGTGTGCGTGTGGCTGTCTGGCTTTGTGTTGTGTATGCCTGCCTAGCTAGGTGTGTTCGTTCGGTTCGGTGTCTTTCTGGATATCTATCGGTCTCCTCTCCGTGTGTGTCTATCTCTGTGTGTGTGGCTGGATGCGATGGCTGGATTCTGTCTGTATTTAAGCCTGTCTGCTCGCCAACCCACTCGCCCGATCAGTCAGTCAGTCGGTCAGGGAGTCAGTCAGCTGTGTCATGATGAGTCGGGCAGTAGGGATGGGTGGGCGGGAGGCCGGCTCTGTTTTGGTCTCCGCCTTGTTTGTTCTCTGTACGTCTACGTACGTCTGCCTTTCTATCTACCATGGGGCACACTCCTCGACACGCCATCACTCAGGGGTCTCCTGTCTCTGCGTCGGCGGCTGGCCAGTGCAGACCTGCACACGCGCCATCCCGCCTGCCTGCCATGAGAGCCACTTTACACATGGGGGGGAGGGAGAGGTGAGTGGAGGGGGAGGGGGGAGGGGAGAGAAAGGGATGATCTGTATCCGCCCGGCTGACTGACTGACACGTATACACGAATTGATGATGTCCACAATGACGACCGGCATGGAGGGAGAAGTGTCACTCGCTTTTCGTTGTTTCGCCCCCCCCCACACACACAGCACCCTTACATACACAGACACGCAGCGCATGGCATGCAGCTCAGCTCCCGGCCGAAGTTGGTTTCTCTCTTTCCTCTCTGTCTGCGTGCCGTGCCTCTCGTTGTTTGCGGGAGTTATCAGGTGGCCTGGATGCCTGCACCGCATCCGTGTGCGCGTGTGACTCGCTTGACAACTTTTTGGCCCTCGTCACGTCCCTCACCCCTCACACCACCCACCACCCCATCCTACCCAGACACACTTGTGGGAACACCCACCTGGACACCCACATCGACACAGACACAGAGAGGGAGGGAGGGAGGGAGGGCCACCCACGATACGATCTGTATGCGTACCTGTGTGTGTGGGTGTCTGTGTTTGTGTTACCAGCCAACACACATGCGGCCAGACAGACAGACCGACAGAGAGGAAGACGGGCAGATAGATAGGTATGGTATACCGCCAGGGCGTTTTTCCGTGGTCCATCAATGGCAAAAGCAGTCGTTTGTTCACTGCACTGCACTCCGACGTATGCGCGAGAGTGAGCAATGAGAGAGAGAGAGAGAGAGAGAGGGAGGGAGAAAGAGAGGGGAGAGATAGAGAGGGCGGGGGTGGGGTGACGGCTGGCCGGGTGGGTTTTATCCGTCCGTCGTTGTATGCGTATGCGTAGACCGACCAGCGGGTCAACTGTATTTCAGTAGGCTGACGGGGGGTTTGGTAGTAGTAGTAGTATAGACAAGCATCCGTTCGTTCACTCACTCACATGGACACAGGGGGGGGAGGGAGGGGCGGAGGGGAGGGGGGAAGAGATTGAGTGCCTTTGCTGCCCGCTGTTTGGATGGCTGGATGGCTGCCATTGTTCACCTGTTCCTATACCCACACACACACAGCTGGCTGCCTAATTCGGGAAGCACACACACACCACCTAGCAAATGTCCGCAACACTCGTTTCTTCGGTCGACAAATGCTGCTGCTGCATGCCATGCGCCACACACGGTCGATGCGTAATTTTACCCCCCTCCCCTTGTCTACTCATCCCGTTGCCGGCTTGCCGTGTTGATCCGATCTTTTTCTTTCCACCACATGTCAGTCAGTCAGGCCATAATTCGCTCGCTCGTTGATTCACCTGTCTGCCCGTCTCTGTCTGTCTGTAATTGTCTCTCTCTCAGTGTGCGTTGAATCCCACTCAAACTGTGGTGAGACGCACATGAGGGAACACACACTCACACAGGGGGGAAGGGGGGATGGGAGGGAGGGAGGGAGGGAGGGAGTGGGGGAGTCGGCCGAGGTCAGCGCGCAGCGTTGCCTTGGTTCTCTTTCTGTTTGCGCCGCTCCCTCACAGAAGTCAGAAGTCCGTCAGCTGTAGAACAAGTGTTTTTTACCATAACCTAACGCTCGCTCGGTCGTCGCCTTTCTGTTGTTCGTGTGCTGCATGTCTGTCTGTCTGCCTGGATGCCTGGATGCCTGGATGGATGGATGCCTGGATGGATACTCTCTTCTATGTAAGGGGTGGGTGCTGGGGCTGTCTTATCATCTGTCTGTCTGTCTGTCTCTGTGTCGCATCGCATTCATGTGGACGAACGAGCGAGCGAATTCGAGAAAACAGAAAAACAGAAAGACAGAGAGAAAGGGAGAAAGACCAAAGACATAGACGCTGTTGATTCATTTTCCTTTCATCGAGATCAGTGTGTGTACTGTGTCAGTCAGTGAGGTGTGTCGGGTGGTCTCGGGTGGGTGGGAGGGTGTCCTGTCCATGTGTGCTGGATGGCAATGGCACACGATGAAGGGGTCGATCGACTGGCGATGGACGGCGATGGGAATGCATGAAGGAAGCAAGGGTTCAGCGTTTTTCTCTCCCTCTTTTGTTTTTGAAACGGCGCACCCTCAGTGCCTGCAGCATTCATTCATTCAGTGGTTGATGCGTGGTTGTGTGCGTGAGTGCGTCGATTCACCGGCCATGGTTCACACGATGGATGCCCTGCCGCCTCCCTCCAGCCAATTAGCAAAGCTGCTATACCTAGGTAGAGATAGCGCTTACCTTTCTCACTCGATGCTCTCTCTGTCTACTGACGCTTAGCCATCGATGGGAGACATTCACGATTCATTCATTCTTCATTCAATGGTCGATCGACATGTACACGTACCTCCGTGCAAGCCTGTACGTATGATTGGTGCTGGGTAGATGGCTCAGCTGCTTTCACGTCCCTGCCTGCCTGCCTGAATGACTTCCTGGATGCCTGTTGTGCCCGTGTGACTGTGAAGGTGAATGTGAATGTGAATGTGGGTGCTATTTAACAACCAACAAATGGTGTGTGGTCTGCCTGTCTGTCTGCCTGTCTGTCTGCCTGTCTGTCTGTCTGTCTGTGGACGCATTTGAAAGAGAGAGGGGCCATCTATCTCCAGCGGCTTATGAACGAATGCATTTGATGGAGGAAGAAGGAACAAGGAAGAAGAAAGGTCGGTAGGAGAGAGAAGGAGCAGAGGAATGCGCGAGTGAGCGGTTGATTGGATGCCTCTCTCTCACTCCATCCCTTACATACAGTCAGTCACGCAGCTAGCTGGGTATTTTTAGTCACCGTGATGGATGGATGATGGATCATTTTGCGAGATCGACGCAATGGATCTGGACGGATGGATGGATGGATTGAATGAAGTGCCCGCCTGCCTGCCCGCCTGCATGCCTCTGTGTAATTTTCCTCGCATGACATGACTGAGCCCTTAATTTCCCTCCCTCCCTCTTGTGTCCCTGCCTCCCCCACCGCTGCTCCGTGGGTGGGTCCTTTCTGCATGTACACACACACAGGACACATCACATGCACACGACACACATACATACTGACTGACACCACATCGACTGACACATTCACACACATACACACCAAAGGCCTGGCCAGCTAGGGAGGGAGGGGAGGGATCCTTCACGGGAGAAAGGCAGGCACGACAGGCAGGACAGGCCAGAGGCATGGACTAAGTGGACGGGTGGAGCAGAGTGGTCTGGTCCATCCAATGCATTGAATGCATGAATGCATCATCGATTACACACGTGGACGTACGTACTAGTATTTGTGCCATGCTGGTCGGGATCCGAACGGGGGCGGGGCTGTGACTTGTTTGCTTGCCACTGACTCTAATACTTGCCAGGCAGAATTGACGATGGCGATAGGGATGGATAGATGGATGGATGGATGGTCTGTCTCCGCGATGGATGGATGTACTTGGATCGCCCACCCACTCCAGCGCAACTCCTGCCTGCCTGCCTGGATGCCTGTGTGCTCATCGACTCATTCATTCATCTGCCTGCAGCCAGCTGTGCCAACTATGAAGTTTGTGCGCTGCCTGGTCCGACTGACTGTCTTGCTGACTGTCTTGTGTGTGTGTGTGCTGCATTGCGTGGTGCATGTGGAGTGATTCACTAGTCAATGGAATGGGTGGATCGATGTGATGCATGGCTGATGGATGAATGAAGGAATGACGTACGTCACAGCTCAGCTCAGCACTCAGCACACACGGCGCACGACCTCCAGCCTACCTGTCGGTCGGCTGCCTGCTGCATGTCTACCTTGTTTCCTCTCGTGTTGCCTTGTCTGTCTCGTCCTGTCCTCGCTGGTCTTCCCTTTTCTTGTCCTCTGTGCGTGTGTGTGTGTGTGTGGGTGATGCCTCCGAATGGCTAAGGCAGCACGACTCACTCTTTCTGAATCACTCACTCACTTGGTGACACCCAGGCAGAGAGGCAGCCAGGCGGGCAGGCAGCACACAGACGTGCGTGGTGGGTGCCGACGGATGGATGGATGGCACACCAGCCAGCAGGCGGTGGTTCGGAGACAAGCAGACGAATTGAAGATTATATGAAGTTTTTGGGTGAAGCAATCTATCATTCAATTTGCAATCAGTGAAGCCATCCATTGCAATGAATCGGACGGTTTCCCCGCTGTAGAAGCCGGCGGTCACTATTTCGCACTGCGAGCTGCGGGGAGATCACTCGGCCACTCACTTGGATCTGCGCCTTACGTGTGGCTTCACACGTGCGGCCCTTCACTCAAAAGTCGCACTGCCTGCGACAATAACATCAGCAGGTGAGGCCACACACCGCTACTGTCACAGATCACACCATGACCCTCCGAGGCGCTGCTTGTGGTCTCTGTTGCAGCCGAGAGCGAGGCGGCTCTGCTGCTTGTCCCGCCTGTGTGAATGGAAGGCGCCGAAGACGTCCCTGCCGCTTCATCGGCATCTGCGCAGAGCGGTGTGATGGACACGGCCGCAGTGCAGTCCACATCGAAAGCACAGAGAAAAAGGGCCAAAAAGGTACGCCCACACACGAGAAGGCACAAACACTCATCCGCCATGAGCCAGTATGCTTGTCTGCTTGCGTGTGTGTGTGTGTGTGCGTCAGGCCAAGAAGCGTGGTGCTGCCCTTGATGCGAGTCAGGATGGTCGTGAGGCTGATGAGGCAGCTCCACCGATTGCGGCAGACAAACCACCTGTGGAGACCCGCGCGGACGCCGCGATCAAGTCGTTGCAGCCTGACAAGGATGTCCCGCTTCTCGGTGGCCTCCTTGCAGATGCGCCTCGCACCAGCAGCCTCCTCAAGTCATCTGATGCCACTTGCCCCCTCAGCATCGAAGCCATCTTCAGCGGCGTGCGCGCAGTGCTGGCAGACACCTGTGGCTTCATCCCATCTTACCAGCTGAGGTGGACTCTCTGTGATCGCGTCTACGAAGCCATCGATCCTGCCACACTGCGGGAGGCGGGGAGGAACGGGAAGCTCGACGTGTGTGTGAGGGCCGTGCGTGCGGCGGCTGAGCAGCTGGCGTCTGAGGCGCATCTGCAGAGGGTGCTGTCGGTCAAGATGTGGACGTTTCTCGTGACCCTCATCGAGGACATCGCCGACCAGCTGGAGGTGAGCGATGGGCGAGGCGGCAAAGAGCGAAACTTCACATGTGCATTGCCATGTTGTCGTGTCGATCAGGGTGGCTGTTCCTCCTTCGCCCAGGCCATCAGGTCGATGTGGGCCACCGAACTATCGACTCAGCCGACGAGACCATCATCCACCACCGCCACCTGGCTGCCCATCTTCCCCCCGGCCATCGACCCCGTCCAGCTGGTGCTACAGCACTCCCCGTCGCCCCACCACCGATTATCCGAGGCCCGCTTGCTCCCTCCTGACGGCCTTATGCGGCTGCTGGAGCTCTTCCGACTCGACAAGGGGCGGATCGACACAAGAGGCTCCTACACGTGGGACATGTCCGTCGACGAGTATGTGGCGGCTGACTGTGCACTGGGAGAGGGTGAGGGCCACAAGCGTGCTGGGTCCTTCACCGTGAGCGGTGCCTCTGGCTCACTCGCGGTCCTCAACGGCAGCTATGTCATCCGCCCCACAGCCGAGGAGCAGGCGAGGCTTGTGGCGCCGCCGGATGGTGCTCTCGCCTATGTGGGCGAGAGGGTGGTCTTCGAGCGGCTGCTGTGCCCGACCGATGAGACGACGACCGCGGACCACACGAGAGGCGTGTGGGTGGCCTATGAGCCAGCAACAGAGGCGAGGTTGACCCCTCGGCTGCTTGCTATCGGTCCCGGACGCAGCGACATACCATTGGCGTCGGTCGCAGCGCACCCGGCTGTTTCATCTCCCGCTTTCGAGACGGACCAGTGGTACACTGTTGACGACAGAGCTCAGCTCGTGAAAATCGGTCCCTTCCAAATTACCGCCGCCCTCCCACTCGACTTTTGCAACTGCCGCTCAAGATTCGACCCGACAACACTCGAGCTCGTTTGGGCTATGTTTCCGTGTTCCTCTGCGCCCATGGGCTTCACGGCCATCAGCGATTATGTCGGCTCCCTCGCCGAAGGGTCAGACGCACTGCCCGTAGCTTACTACGTGTCCCCTACGGTCATGGAAAACCTTCCGCCTACCGCACACAACCCTGAGCCCCTCTTCGCTGACTTGCCGACATCTCAGCCTGTCCCCGTCAGCAAGCGACCCCTGCTGGTGCGCGATGGGGAGGCAAACGTCCGTCGCTGGGGCTTGATGCGTCTGTCGGACGATTGGGCGTCGAGGCGCTTCACTCAGTGGCCCTTCAATGCATTGGCGCTGCTGCTGGGTAATGGCGGGCTAGTCGGTGAGCCGTTCAAAGGCGGGCCGGTTGCTGTGGTGCGGTCAGAGCTCACGAGCAGTACCACCTGCACGGGTGGGTGTAGTGCCCAGCCGGATGTGGGCAGACCAGCCGGCGATATGCCCCTGGTGCATGTGCTGTCAGCCGAGACCGCTGAGCAAGACTTGGCCTACCTGAGTACGGAGGGAGTGTGGACGCATCTTGGACCGAGCGGGCTAATCTGTAGCAAGTGCTGTACTGGGAAGATTCGGAGCATGGCAAAGCCCTTGCCCGGTGCCGGGGCTCAAGCCGCCGGACGTGCTGAAGGGTACGAAGAGATGAGCCAGCCAGCCAGCCATTCACTGGTCTGCTGATCTGTCTTTCACTCATAAATGTGTTGCTTGATGCGTGTAGGGACGATGACGCGTCGAGCGCCGAGGCTAGTGGCGCAGGTGATGCCACGGGTCTGACTACTCGTCCAAACACGAGGCAAGAAAACACCCCAACACACGTAACCCGCTCAGCGGAGATCTCCACTGTTCTCTACCCTCAGTGGCATTGCTACGTCTTCCGCGACGATGCTGTTCGCAGCGTCCCCGATGTCCGCCTCTGGCATCCAGCAGGGCATCTCAGCCGCCAGCGCATCTGCAGCCACGCCCTCAACCCCATCGCCACACAGCGGCAGCAGCCGGACACGGGCCAAGCAGACACCGGCCCCGCAGCGTCGTCTGCATCAGAGGCCGGCCCGGTCCCTGCCAAAGACATATCGACAGCCATGCCCCCAAGCATGCCCCCGCAACATACTGGCCAAGATGAGACCACTCGTTGTCAGGCATCGACACCAGCGGCAGGGGGTGACCCAGTCGGTATGAACGAGGATTCCACAGGGACGCCCCAGGCCGCGTCAGCAGTTGTGGGAGCCAGTGGCTCTGTGAGCATCGGGTCGGCCTTTGGTAGCACTCACTACGTCGGGGACCGGCTGGCACGGGAGGGTCCATGGGAGTGCGGTGTGGACCTGCGAGCGGTCTTCGAGGGGCTCGCCCAGAAACTCACGGACACTGCCTTCGGGCCTCTCTTCAGACTCAGACGCATTGTCGTTCGCCAGGTCGGCGTGTGTGTGAAATCTGCGATGGCTTCCACTCAGATCACATGGACGTACGTGTGTGCGTGTGTTTAGGTGTTGGAGTGTGTGCAGCTCGATCAGCTGTCTGAGGCCCTGTCCAAGGCCGGCAGCAACAGGCCCATGGAGGAGGCGGCTGCCAGTCTGCACAAGGAGGCCGGGCTGATCGCAGGCGACGGGAAGCATCAGACACTCTGCTCGCGCTACTTGTGGAACACCATCGTGTTGGTCCTTAAAGCCATTGCCGTGGAGATGGAGGTCCGTTTCATGCACTGACACGACGCATACGAGTGTGTGCAGCGAGCTAGGCTGACTGTCTTTCCTTCTCTGGCTGTCTGGCTGCCTCTGTGCTGTCAGGGCGACGGTGTGGCTTTCGTCAAGGCGATGCAAGACATCCGCCGCCGCGTGCAAGAGCAAGACGCCTCGAACACAGCTGACGTCACCCTCCCGCCCCTCCCCGCCGCAGGGGACAACTTCTATGACTTTGCCCGTCTGGTGGTGGCCGCCCTGACGCAGCAAGGGCCACCCGACAACACTTACCTGGAGACTCATCTGCAGACACTTCTCGACGCTGTCGCCGCTGACCCGCTTCTAGATCTGCTGTTTTTCTTCCGTCTCGACCAAGGTCCCCCGAAGTCGCCGACGCAGGACGGCACAGAGGGGGAGTCTGCGTGGCACGCGACGTTTCGCGGTTACTTCGACCAGTGCCGCACCGTGGCCCCCACGGGCGGTCGGCGGCACGGCAGCTTCACTGTGAGCGGCGACTACACCGGCCTCAACGGCACCTACCTGCTCCGCCCGACAGAGGAAGAGCAGAGGACGGTGCTCGGTACTTATCCGGAGGATATCGTGTACGTGGGCGAGAAGATGGCATTCGAGCGGCTGGTCTACCCGCAAGCCGACGGCAACGTGGGAGGACTCTGGATTGCCTGCGCTCCAGAAACTGACCGCACAATCTCGCCGCTGCGTGCCTTCGCCTTCGGACCCTTCAAGGACGACTCAGTCAGCAACCGCAACCCCTTGCTGAGTCACCCCGCTGCGGCCAACCCCGCCCTCGAGACGAACGAGTGGTTCGCCGTCGACCAGGAGGGGCGCATCAGCAGACTGGAGGGCGTCAAGATAACCACCACTCTGCCGCTGAGTTTCGATATCCCCCGATCTGTCCTGAGATGCAAATCGAAGGTCGAGCGCATTTATGCTGTCGGTGTGCATTGGTGGGCCGACACAGCTGAGCCGCTGGCGTGCGAGTCGCTGGATGACTACTACACCCATTATCTGGCCGAGCGGGAGGTCAGCAAGGGGGCCGTCTTCCCCATGGCCTTCTACCTCGATGCCCAGGTCATGCAGCGCCTGCCGCCCTCGGTACGGCACAAGGAGCGGCTGACGACCAGCCGGGCCCAGTCGGCGGTGAGGGTCGCATGCGTGAGTCATGCCGAGACATCGGCTATCGAGATGAGGAAGATCCGCCTGGCGGACGAGTACGTCACCAAGGCGTTCACAGAGTGGCCACCTGCCGCCGTGTTGGCCCTGCTGGCGACGGGATCGGCCGAATCGCGCAGCACAGGGGGGCTGGTGTATGTCTTGCGGGCGGAGTCGCGGGCACAGACCTGTTGTCGGTGCGGCAAGCCGTGTGCGGGCAGCTCAGAGGGGCTCGTGGATACCATTCCTCTGGTGCACACGCTCACCCATGACGACCTGATGGGCGATGACATGATCGAAAAGCAGAGGCGGTACATTCGGGAGGCGCCGGCGGGCCTGTGTGTGCAGAGTGCCACAGGGTCGCTCATGTGCGGACCATGCGCGCTGGATCGCGTCGAGTCGGCGTATCCGACCAGGTGAGTGACGCGCAACCAGGGTCAAGTGTTTTTGTCCATATGTGTGTGTGAACAGGCCTGATCGTACCCCTGTGGATGTGCTGGCCACATTCTCAAGCCTCCTGTCGCTCCCTTCCGACACGCAGACTGTCCCCTCGCCCCAACCGAAGAGTGTATCGAGCAGCAGCACTCCCTCCCGCAACTCGCCGGCCACCAGCAGCATCTTCCGCGGCATCTTCACCGACAAGGACAAGACCAAACCCAAGCCCAAGCCGGCACCCACCACTCCCAAGCCCAAGCCGAAGGCCACCCAGCCATCCACCCCGCCGAGCACCACACGAACCGTCACGGTCGAGTCCATCCATGAGGCCTTCCCCGACATCGCCACCGTCACATCGGGCACAGAGGGCGACAAACAGCCCTCGAGTGAGACCCTGGCGATCGTGAGGGCATTCCTGCAGCACAACAGAGGGCAGGGGGAAAGCGGTGGTCTCGGCTGTGTCGAGTCGAGTGAGTGCGATGGGGCCCAGGCGCGGGAGACTTTCCTGCGGGCCGTCAAGAAGTTCTTCATGGACCACCGCACAGCACTGCAAAGGTGACCAACAGAGGGAATGGGCACTGGGCATCTCAACCAGTGGGTGATACGAGTGTCATGCTCTCTGTGTGTGTGCAGCGATCCGTCGGCGGTGTTTGCGTTGGGTCCGCTGCGGCATGTGCGTGGCGAGTGGCTGCCCCAGTGGCACACGGCATTCGTCAGTGAGCTCAGCAAAGGCCAGCAGCTCATGCAGAAGGAACTCGGGGCCGCCACTACTAGGGGCCCTCACGACACCGACAGGTGAGCCGGAGGGGAAGGAAAAGGCATCGATCAAGTGTCATGATGATGTCGCGTGCTGCTGTCGTAGGTAAGGTCATACGAGAGGCGATCGCACACAAGTTGCATTCTCTAAACACTGTGGACATCACCTGCAGCTCGGCGGTATCAGTATCGCCTCCCGATGCCGCCACACGCACGGACACGCCCACAAGAGCCAAGGCGATCGCACACACACAGTGAGCTGAGCGACAACGATCCGAACCACGCCACACACTTGACCCTATGTGTGTGTGTCTGTCAGGGATGAGTCGACCACTCCCACTGCTGGCGAGCCCGACCCCGATGAGTCGCAGGCCGAGATCGACAAACTGACAGACAAGTGTGCCCGACTAGAGAGGGAGCTGGCGGCCGCACACGAGAAACTCAAGACGGCCGAGGACGGACACACGAAGGAGAAGGATGGACTCAACGGGACCATCAAACGGCTCCAAGACGATGTCAAAAGGTGACCAGAGAGAGGGGGAGAGAAGCAGTTGATTGACTGCCATCCGTACGCCCTCGTGTGTGGGAACATGTGTGTGTAGGTTGACCAGTGAGTCGGCTGCGTCGAAGAAAATGGCTGAGAAGGAGAGAAAGGCGGCCGACGCGCAGCGCAGCACTCTCGAGGATATCCTCAAAGACAAAGACAAACAAATCAAACAGACACAAAAGACGTAAGCACCGACGCACACCTAAAGGACCACACACAGACACTCCCTCCCTCCCTCCCTGTCTGTCTGTCTGTCTGTCTGTGTGCAGTGCTGACGACCGTGTGCGTCGGGTGAGCCAGCAGGTGCGCCAGGAGGCCGACAAGGCCGCCAAGACACAGACCGACACCGTCACCAAGCAGCACAGAGAGGAGCTGGACGCTTTGCGTGGCGAGCACCGGTCGGCCATTTTGGAGCTGTCGGCGCAGCACCGGATGGCCATCGAGCAGCGAGAGACTGAGGTGCGCGGGGAGGCCGAGAGGGCCCTGGCCAACATGACGCGCGAGAGGGACCAACTGAGGCAGCGGCTGAGGGAAGAACGACTCAGGTCAGCCGGCCAACCAGAGAGAGAGGGAGGGAGAGAATACCAACGAGTCAGACGCTGCTGATGACATGTGTGTGTTGATGTGTGTGTGCAGGTCAGCGCGTGTAGAGCAGGAGAAAGACGTCGAGTTGCGTCGGCTGCGCGAGGCGGAGGCGCCGCTGAGGCGGGAGATACTCACGCTCAAACAACAGCTGTCATCGGCGCAACCACCACACAGGTCACCAACCACACACACCGACAGCAGCCGTGCACCCGTCGTCTCGCCCTCATGATGTGTGTTGCAGTCGTGTCAGTGCGGGTGACGTGTCGTCTCTCGATCTGCCGTCGGTGCGTCAGCTGCTGGATGACCTCGCCTCTGAGCAGCACCGACTCACTCAGCTCCACCAGGCGGCTATCGAGAGAGAAATACAACTACGCCACCAGCAGCAGCCCAACCGCACATCGCCATCATCATCATCGTCAACAGCAGCAGCTGTCCCCACCCACACCGCCGCCCCCTCTATGCCCCCCTCTCTCTCCATGGATGGTATCAACGGCTCACCACCGCCACCACCACCAGTCAGTGGCAGCAGCAGCTCGGCACAGGCAAATGGCCCCTGTGCTGCGCCATCGTCCAGCAGCAGTGGTGGTGGTGGTGTTGGGTCGAGTGTGAGCAAGTGCCAGCTGTGTCTCGAGAATCCGCCAGACATCATCCTGCTGCCCTGCGGACATAAAGTCAGTCGAAGAAGAGATGGCAGCGAGTTTGTACGTGCAGGTCTGTGTGTCGTCTGTGTGTGTCTGTCAGGTTGTGTGTCAGGAGTGTTTCGAGAAGTGGATGGCCCCCATGCCGACCGAAGACAAACTCTGCCCCGAACACACGTACGCAATGCAATCCAATGGCTGGCAACCGGCACACACTGGGCAGCCCCCGTGTGTGTGTGCGATGTGTGTCAGGTGTCGGCAGCCCTATTCCGAGGTCAGATACATTTTTGGTGAGTGAGTGAGTGAGTGAGTGCTGTCTTGATGAGTCCATATGTATTTATCGATGAGTGACATTTATGGCAAAATGCGACGGATGCGACGCGACAAGAGAGACGCCGAAAAGGTTTGTTTGCAGCCGAGTGAGTGAGTGAGTGAGTGATCCATCAATCGGTGTATACGCCGCAGTCTGCGTACGTACGTCAGTGAGTAGGTTATACACGTAAACGTATACATGTACGTACATGTAGACGTATGAATGTGTACACTAGGTGTGTACTGTACATGTGCGTAAGCGTTTTTAAGGCCTTCTTACTTCTGTGTGGCTGTGAGTCTCTTAATTGCATTTGTGTACATACGGACAGCGGTGAATCAATCAGTCAAATGGATCAGTCCATCCATCCATCCATCCATTGTCCTTGCAGATACAAAGGGGGGCCATTCGCCCAATCAATCACGCCACCCACTCAATCCACTCAATCCACTCACGCCAGCTACCAACGACGGACTCTGCGTGCGTACGTCCGGCACACGCGCCGTGCGTAAATCCGGCACGCATGCGGATATTATGCCTGAAGCTGAGCCCCACAAGAGGTGATCGATCAGACTGGTGCTGCCATCCATCACCAACTTGTGCTGCCAGCTGTGTTCCATCAGACAAAAATCGGCCCCTTGTTCGGCCATTTCGAATATATTCCAGAGGCATACGAGGGCATTTGATCAAGTGCATCTAATTGAATGGCCAATGAGATGCACTTGATCAACATGAGCCGCAGCCGCTGCACACAAAAGGACGGGGAACAGGTCCCTGGTATGCATGTTTGTTCTCATCCTAGATCCTGTATCTGACCTTCAAAGACTGTTGAAGGTCAGATATGCTAGCGAGAATGTCAGTGAGGTTTTTCCTCTCCTGCTCCAGGGACTGCTGCGATGCCTGCAGCGCCTGACGCTGTAATGACAACTCCTGCACACACACACACACACACACATACGCAGAGAAGGATGCAGAGAAATTAGATGAGGGATCTGATCTCTGTCTGTCCGTAGCTTTCCTGGTGCAGGGCGCCGATGTTTGAGAGCAGCATGCCTTCCCTGTCGGCATCCAGGGAGTCATATAACGACACACCACCAACACCGCCATCCACAAGACCTGTGAGTGGGGGATTGGATTGTTCGACGCGCACCAACACACACACACACACACAGGGGTGTTGACTGCTGTCCACTGCGCGACGCGAAAGTGTGTGTACCTCTGGATGGTAATGCAGAGATACACAGGAGTATCCGGACTGCAATGCAGAGACGAAAGGAACACACACACACACACACACACAGAGAGAGAGAGAGAGAGAGTTTGAGAGAGTTTGGTTAAGAAGATGCTTGCTAGTGAGTGGGGTCGATTCATTCATTCTCTACTCACTCCACGTCAGGATTCCAAAGACGGAGAAAGCAGTTATCAACACATTCCTGCCGGCACACACACACACACACACACACGTCAGGTCAAACAGCACAGCGAAGCTGCAGTTTGTGCGTGTTGCCGATAAGTGTGCAGTGTGTGTGTACCCAAATGACAGCATTTGCCCCGCTTCTGCACACACAAACCAAACATCATTATCAAGACAAGATGGTGACGAACGAACGAACGAACGACGAAAACAGAGTATTGCTCACTCACTCTCTTTGTCTTTGCCTGTGCTGTCGCTGCTGCCGCTGCTCTGTTCCTTCGGCTCTGGGCGATTGACGTGGACGGACGGCGCAGCGGTGATGCGGGTCGATGCAGCGCAATCCCGTCATCCTTACGGCACAACAAAGAGGCACGAGATGTGGCTGCAGCAGCCGACCTGATACTCCCTGTCTGTCTCTCTCGGACCTCCTGTGTGCTGCCCACAGACTCGGCCGACGAAACAGACAGTAACTGCACACATTGCATCACAATACCTAGCCGCTTGTGATTTTTCTCTTCATTGCAGTCCACTCACCTCAGACGGCGGTCCTTCCCGGTGATTGCATTCCTCATTGTGAATCTCAGCCGGCGGCCTCTCGTAAGTCAGTTGGCTCTCAGATGTGGGTTCCTGAAGGAGAACGGGACAGGTCATTTACGGCTCGTTCGCCACCAGAGGGATGGGCCCTCTTAGCGTACGCTCATAGTATTTTGCTCTGATGTCTGTGACAGCTGGTCTGCTCCGTCGTCTGGTGAGCAGGTGGTGTTCTGCAACCAACAGAATACATATATATACATGGCGTGTTGTCAGCTCGTTCAGGCCGTCTACCTGTCGGTTGGAGTCGATAATCGGTCCGATGAATCTATCTGCCTCAAGGGCTGCAGCTGACTCGTCAACCTCCTGACCCTGCAGTAAGGCACATGAGATTCTGGATGGCACATATCATTCCCTCACCGTCAGTGCATCGATGCTGTCAGTGCCTGAAGCAGCAGCAGCAGCAGCGGTGGCAGCAGATGACTCGGAAGGTGGCACAGGGGGCTGACAAAGAGACAATGAGCAATTTTTCGCCTTGTCTGAGTGTCCTCTCCCTACCTGCCATCTTTTCCTGAATGCCGCGATCCACCTGTCGCTCGCGGAGAAGTCTTCGACGCCCAGCTGAGTGGCGATCTTCATCGCCTGCTCCCTGATGTCCTTGGTACGAACATTCGTGGGGTCATGACCACCCAACCACTGACGCATGTCGTCCTCAATCTGCGGGTACTTGGGCGGTCTGATGCGCTTCTTGGTCGAGTCAGTCAATGGTACGCCGGTCTTCCTCTGCTTCTCGAGCTGGGCGTGCCACTGCTTGTAGCGGCCGGGCAGCAAGCCCTTCTCCTTCTCGAACTTGGCCATGCTGATGGTCTCACCGGCTGACTTTCGCCTCTTGAATTCATCATCCAGCTGCAGCCGCTCGCCAAGCGACACCTCGTTCGCTCTCTTGTTGGACATCTGAAATACACAAGGCCACATCGGTGCAGTGCGCATTGGGAGGGTGCATGTCACCTGGTGTGAGGCTTGGGTTGTCGCTTGTCTTGTTAAGGGCACAGATGCCGGGGGGGACGCCCCGTGTTGCCGTGCTGATGATTCGACGCCATAGTAAAGCTGAGGATAAAGAAATGATACGGAAGACAAACGAACACTGGATTCATTATCTCACTTGAGCTGTGTATTCCTGGTCGACAGCCAGAAACGGCGGCATGAAGGGGCCTGACATGTGGGGGCTGGGATGCTGGCCGGATGTAGCCGGTGGACCGTCGAGTGGGCCTGCTGACAAGGACACCGCCACATGATCGACAATTGGTGTTTGCCTGCACGGCTTTGTGGTCACTGCAGCTTGCCGCTTACTGGCATCAGCGCATGTCTGCAGTCCATCACCGATCGCCCATCACAGGCACAGACACACAAAGGCACAGACACACACAGCGGGTCCACAGATATGATGCCGTATGCGGCGCACCTGATCATGGGGTTCATCGTGAGCGTCTGCCCCCTGTTCTCCGTACCGAGCCACCCATGCAGGTGCTCTATGTACTTGGCTAGTACGATAATGCTCCTCGGCGAATGGCAGGGCGTTCATCCCATCTTCCTGAACAGAAGACTGCCACACAAGAGTGAGAGAGGCAAAGCGTTGACTGGGGCACACTACCTGCGGGCCATAGCTGCCCCAGTCACTCATCGGGAGCAAAAATGATGAGTTTTGAGCAGCGTGACTCGGGTCCAATGACTTTTAGGGTTTACTAGGGCTTAGGGTTTCCAACCGGAAGATCGACGCCCAATGAATTTTCCCTCCAAGAGTGCAACGGCTACAGCCCCCAAAGCAAACCTAGCAAACCGGCCCAAGCAAGCAAAGCTCCAAGAGTCGGGATGATTACCGCCAGCGGTATTAGAGGCAGGCAGCAGGATTCCCTGGTTCGACGGCATGTGTTTGCGGCTCGTGAAGCTTCTTGCTTGCATCCTCTTATCGTTCGTGTTCCTGTCCGATGCCCAGGGCGGCCAGCTGGCGGTGCAGCAGCAACATCCCGTGTTGCTGATGCCGCGTGACGGCCAAGTGCAGGTGGCGCCCCAGGGGGCAGTTTTTTCGTTATTCCTCTCTGATGGCAAGAGCTTTCATAGCGACAGGCCCGGTGCCTACAGCCGCTACTCAGCCTGTCTGACAATCCTTGGACCCTGCCTCGAGAGTGAGCATTTTTCGAATCGATAATGCGGTGAGAAAGGGAGAGACGTGCGCATGTAGGCCACTGCAGTTGTGTCTCGTGTGTGTGTTGTGCGCTTTCTCCTCTCCTCTCAGTTCCCTCTGCATCATTGCGTCGCTGTGGATGGGTGACGGAAGGAGTTTGTTCGTCGGTCCTTGATTGGTCGTGAAGTCCGTCTGTTGGTTGTTTGTGGCACTGGTTGAGACGTGTTGCTCGGTTGTCTGTTGCACCCAAACGATTCAACAAATCGCACCGCTACGTCTGGCGTTCTTGTCGTATGTCGCTGATCGATTGCTGAATGACGTTGAATTCGACTCAGTGCGTTGAATCAACTTTTTTCACACTGAGTCGCTCACATGCATTGTCATTCAGACAGACACACGCACACACACACACACATACACACGTCAGTCAGCAAGACGTCTAATCTGCTCTCTCCTTCTTGACCCACGCCGTCTCAGCGAGTGGGTGACTGAACAGATGATAGTGACGCCTCTCTGTCTGCCTGAACACAATGCAGAGCTAGATGGGCAGGCAGGCCATCTTCACACACAGTCATAATGTCAACAGGGTGTGCAGAGAGGGAGGGGGACGGGGGAAGGTCTCTCTCTCTCTGTGTGTGAGGGTGCGTGTGTGCCATCCAGGCATGCGCCCTCAAACACACACACACACACACACACACACAGTGCATCGACATATTCTTACTGTGTCCTCGCTGGTCTTCCCTTTTCTTCTCTTGTCTGTGTGTGTGTGTGTGTGTGGTGATGCCTCCGAATGGCTAAGGCAGCACGACTCACTCTTTCTGAATCACTCACTTACTTGGTGACACCCAGGGAGAGAGGCAGCCAGGCGGCCAGGCAGCACACAGACGGTACGTGCGAAAGTGCTGATGGATGGATGGCACACGAGCCAGCAGGCGGTGCTTCGCGAGACAAAGGGACCGACGAATTGACGATTACATGAACTTTTTGGGTGAAGCAGTCTGCCTAGCGAACCATACAATCCTGTGCGGTGCGCATGTAAGTACACACACGCGTATGTGTGGATCCCTATGCACATTCACAAAACTGCACTTGTGAGGGCAAGTGACAAGAGGGAGGGAGGGCTGCCGGCGGCCGGGCTGTTAAATGAAGATATTAAAAGGTCAAAATGCGCACACACGCCTTGAGTGTGGACGCCGAGTATACACCCATCCACCCGCACGTATCTCAGTCTTCTTTGTCTGCGTCTGCGGCAGAGATGTGGTCGGCCACGTGCTTGAGGTTCATCAGGGTGGCTTTCACGGCCTGAAGGAAAGCAGTGCACGCCCATGATGGCCACACGCTGTGGATATGTTCTGTTCACTCGTCCTCATAGCAGTACCTGGAAGTAGTTCATGCTCTGGTAGTTCAGCCCATGCTTCTCGCAGAATGCACGCGTCCTGTCACCGATTCGATTCATTCGCCGCAGTCACGTGCACGTGCAGGTGAGTATGCGTGCATGTGCATGTGCATGTGTGTGTGTGTGTGTGTGTACCCCACCCCGCTCACCTGTGTGTGAGTTTGGTCTGTCTGAATTGGGGCATCGACGGGAAGAGGTGGTGCTCTATCTGGCAGTTGAGGTAACCCATCCACCATGACACTGTCGCACACACAGCGACACACAACCAAGAGAGACTCACGCCCCTCCACACACGCCTTTCTGTATGTGTGTGTGTGAGCAGGTGTACGCACCGACAGGATTGGGGTCGACATTCATGGTGTAGTTGATGCCGTACTCGACCCAGTTGCGGTTCTCGTCGCGGAATGTCACCGGCAAGTGTGTGTGGGACACGCTAAAGTTGCCGAACAGGTACATGCCACCTACATCACGCACATACACACACACACCACGAGTGTGGACGCGAGTGTTGTCAATTGACGCTTCTGGGGTGCTGACCGATGAAGCCCGTCAGCACGAACGACATGACTCGCGGCAGGAGAGACCAACCTTCATTATATTACACACCCAACACACATGCATATTCTCGGCCGTGAGCATGCGTGCATGAGCTCACCGGCAGGGCAGCACAAGTAGTGAGCCACCAGCCGCAGCACCACCAGCACAAACGTCACCAAGTCACGCCGAGACTTCCTGGCGGTGCACACACACACACACACACACACACATACACATACACACACACATACACACAGACACACACACACACACAAGGTGCAAACACATGTATGTGTGTGTCTGGGCTGGTGTGCGTAGAGGTCGACGAATGGTGTTTACTTGAGCAGGTACGACTTGGGGTGCAGATAAAACGCCCACGCGAAGCCGGTCAGTCCAGCGCTGAGAGGCCACACAACACTGGTGCGAATGAATGACACGTTTATCAGTGTGTGCGTACCTGATGGGCAGGAAGCTCCAGTGCTGGTACTTGAGCCACTGCTTGGACGCGCTCTTGCGGTTGCGGCCGATTTGCAGCGCCTGACAGTGAGTGAGAACACTGGTGCATGTGTGTATCCACCCTATGGATGCACAGCACACGGACCTCCTTGTAGAAGGCCACAAACGGCAGCGTGTCGATGTCAAAGTCGTGATCCACCTGATGTGATTGATGATGGATACGTATGAACATCAAGACACATCATGCCATGCCGTCTCTGTGTGTGTGTTGTGGGCAGTGTGGATACCTTCTGCGGCGTCGCGTGATGGCGGTTGTGTGTGTCGTTCCACTGAGGGGCACATGGACAGATGTGAACTCGCACATGGATGCAGCTCAGCTGTGTGTGTTGGGCATCGCACCTTCCATCCGTATGTGAGCACCCCAAATGCGATTGCCACCCGCTGAATGGCCTTGTCGATCCAGGGGATACCTGCACACACGCATATATTAGCATCTATCATAGGTGCACTTGTGTCGATGTGAGTGCACATGGGCACCGGTGAGGCTGTTGTGTCCGCCTTCGTGCTGCACCCAGCCAGCACGACCAGTGGCTATCCCTGACACACATGCACAGACATACACGCATGAAGGTGTGGATGAGCAGGTAGGTGGGTGTCTTGTGGTTGTGTTTGTTCACCCACCTCCAACAATGGCCGCCAGCCCCCACCTCCCTATAGACAGCTGACACAAGCAACGACGACCGACAGTGGCAGGTTTGTGTGTACGCGGCAGAGAGTGCGACGCCGTGTGTGTGCATATGAGTATCCGTACCAGCCAGAAGTGCAGCACAAACATGGCGACAAGCTCAACCAGCCGATACGCGACGTGGGCATACGATGGGTCGAAATACCTGTGTCGAGAGTTGGGCATACCAGCAGTGTGCGCACATAAGTGTTTGTTTCTGTCGATCCACATGTTTGTACCCCTCATCGATGAGCTCTTGTCTGAAGGACCGGAAGTCCTCGATGAACGCTCGATCGCCGGCAGAGAAACTCTTCGCGTCATGATCTGCACACACACTCACCCAAATCATCCATCCATCCATAAGCGTGTCCTTTTATCTGTACCAGCCACTGGTCTGGAGGGCAGGCTGTTCAGCACCTGCGCACCCACAGACGCAGCACACATGTGAAGCCCTCTGGTGACGCACTGACTGGACACTCGGCAGCATACCATACCTTTTTGGCCTTATCGCTTCGCTGGTGGAAGGCGTCGAACGCATCGGTGGCATCCTGTGCCAGAGATAAGAATGCACACGCACACACACGCGTGTGTACACAGAGAGAAGAGAAGAGAAGAGTGGACAGACAGACAGACCTGTTGGGCGTAGTAGGCGATGACCGACCCGCCTGGATGACGCTTCACAAACTGACACGGACGGCACATACACACAGGTGTCCGTCCATTGCACCAAGTATATATGCACGGGTGAGTCCGGACGCACCTGTGTCACGTCGTATACCCTATCGCCCACACGCATTTCGACCCTCTTCTCACCCACAGGGGCCTGCAGAGAAAAACACAAAGACGGCCGCTCTTGGTGCCTGCTCGCTCTGCGTGCATATCTGCCTGCATGTACACCTCAGTCTGCTGTGTGTAAGGGCTGGCAGGGCCCTTGGAAGGCGCTACCTGAAGAGGACAGAAGGACACGCAGATGAAATCGGGATAATGAAGGCGCAGGAATTCTCATCTCTCACCGTTTCCTGACACATGACGAGCCCGCTTTACTTGACTTCCCTCGACAACAAGCTCGCGCTGCAGATCTGCCTCCGGAAACCGGGCTGCTGCGTGTGCAGAATGAGGTGCATCGATGGCTGATCTGGCAGAAGCAGGTAGGCAACGAAACTCAGCCCATCCTTTGCTTGCGTACCTGTTCACAATGAGTGTCATTTTGCATCTGCAGAGCCTCGTGTGGGATCTCCTGCAGGCAGCAGCTCAGTGGATGCACCAGCAGCGGCACCAGCGGCTGCCTCAGGTAACATGCACTTGAGAAGGAGATCTTTGGTCAGCACTATTGCTTGAATTGTCCATGCAGTTCCGTCTTTCGAGTCGTATCAAGTCGATGACGCCGGTGTCAGCTGCTGGACGAGCACGAGGGAGAGGAGGCAGAAGAGGGAGGGGAGTCTGGCGACCCCGCGGACAGAGGGCTAGGGGCGGCAGGGGGCGCGCCCAGAAGGGCAGAGGGCGAGCAGGAGGCAATCGAGCGCATCAGCCATCTACAGCAGCTCAAGCTCCAGAACCATCATCCCCGTCGATTGCAGCCACCGAGGGCCATGAGACTGTCAGACTGCCGACCCCTCCCCTGATCCTTGAGAACTGGGTGGATCGAGAGAGAGGCAGGCAAGCAGCCGTAGGCCTTCCCACCAATGAATATGAAGCTTATTTGGAATTCGAGCGCAACTTTGCGTACTTGCAGGGGCGGGCGGCTGGGGGAGGGGAGGGTAGTGCTGATGATGAAAGCGATGACCTGCCGGACATGGGGGCGTCGACGACATACCCTGTCAGCGAGCGTGAGGATCAGAGTGTCGCTGCCAGCGGTGCCGAGTGGGGGGATGGCGAGGATGAGGGGCAGGATGAGTGATTTGAGTGGGTTGGTGGGCGAGGGAAATGTGATTTAATGTGTGTGTGATGAGATGAGTTGGCCAGAGGCCGTTTTGGGTGAGTCTCTGGTCGGGCTTTCTTTGTCGGACTAATGGCTTCTCCCCCGGGATCACTAAGAAGCTGATTTGTGTGCGTTTGAGGTCTGTCTGTGGTGTCAGCTTTCATCGATGTCCATGCGTCGCAAGTGTGAGCTTCAGTGAACTCATTCAGTAATATGCATTGTATATGCCTTGTCTCGTTCCAGCCACGCAGCCCAACACAAGGAGCATTATGAATGCATACTCTCAGTGAGAGCTACAAATCGCACAGAGAGCCTACTATAGGCTCACAAAACTATAGGACGAGATAGAGTATACATCACTTGCCCAGGTAGCAGAAGAACTCTGGCCCAGGCGCTTTCTTCGCATCGACAGGCAGCAGTTCAATATACATCCGGCCGCCGACATGTCGAATAAAAGGATGGACGCCTGGCCGTGAGGCACCTAAGTCCGTCTCTTCCTCCTCTTCCTTGCTGTCATGTCGCTTCGTAATGACGGGCGGCTTGTTGTCGTTGTCACGGCGAGATCCCTCACGCACCACGTCATCCGCTGGTCGTCTGACATGCGTCGGGGGTAGTGTGTACATCACGCTGATGACATTTAGACGCTTCTCCCAAGGGAAGGGGTCTCTCCATTCCTCCGCCCACACTCGTCCTGATTGGGGATCAACCCTCAGGGCGCACCGACCGTCGACATCTGCCGCTCTCATCAAATCATGACTGCACACGGGAACAACAAAGCGGATAGCGGATGAATGTATTGCATCCTTCTAAACACACGCACAATGCATGCTCACTTGAGGCCGTTGTAGAAGCCAGCCACGAGCTTCTTCTTTTCTTTGTGAGGCGTCCTCTTGTCAAGGCCGAGAAAGGCTTCGACGAAATCGCCGTCACCTGTCAAAGAGAAAACAAAACAATGGTCGTCTGTGTCGTCTGATAGCATACTCCCTCTTTCCCCCTTGTGGCTCACCGCTGAAGAGAACGACAGCATCAACGCTTTCACTCGCAGCCGCATGCAGCATAGCATCGTAAACAACCAAATCCCCGCCAACCTGCCGAAAGAGTTGTTGGTACGGACCAGGCACCCTCTTCACATCCACCCGTCTCAGTTGAAACTCATGCCGCTTCGCCATCTTCCCTCCAGGAGCGTCGTAGAGAGTTCCAGCAGGAGCCTCTACGCATCGGTGGAAATTGGTCATCATTTTGCGGTCGTCTGCAGCTTGCTCGAGCTTTCGATGGTGGTCCCATAGCTGTGATGCTCTCATCAGGGCTGCTCTTCTCTTCTCGTACATTGCATTTGGCCCGGTGTCGACGAAGACTGACAGATCGGGGTCGATTGAGATTGTCTTGCCAGTCGAGGACGCGAAGAAATCGATCACGTCATCGACGATGCCCTCGAATGTCTTGTAGTTGAGCCAGGCGCGACTCCTAAAACAGTCGCTGTACCGACGGAGAAGGTTCGCGCCGTCAACGATGAGGGCGCAGTGCAGCACGTTGACATCTGTCGTCCTCTCGGCCAAGGAAGACAGGAATGGAGGCATAGGGACGGCAGCCGAAGGTGCAGCATTGCAGGATGCCGCGGGATAATGTGGAAGACCACTGAACAAGACAGCAAAGCAGGACCCTTCCATTGTCATCTCTCTCTCCCTTGTGAGCCGTTCCCACCTCGGCGGCCTTGACAGAGGGGCATTGTTCATGTGGTCGCTGTGCTCGTGCTGCGGCAATGACCACTGGTTGGTTTGGCTACTGAACAGACGGACACACAAACAGCAGAGCAGCGCCGTTCCATCGCCAAGGAGATCTTTCTCTCCCTTGCGTCCCGCACCTACCTTCGCGACAAAGCGATCTCGTCCATGTTGTTGCAGATGACTTCGACGGATCTCTGAAGCAGCAGTCGTTTCGTGCCTCGTCTTTTCCGCTCCCGGGCGATTTTTTTCACAGGAGAGTGCCTCGTCGATCCACCGCAGGTCTGCCACGCCCGCCGCTGCTGTGAATGCATCGCATTGTTGTGCTGATTGCATAAACAATGTGACGTCATGACGCGTACACGTTCGAATGGAAGCGTCATTCATGCAAAGACGTCATTCATGCAAAGAAATGGCAAAGAAGCCGCCCAACAACCCACCCACCCAGTGAGTGACCCGCCAAATCATTCGTTAGCCAGGCCGCCGCCTGCATCCATCTGAGTCGGCCCCCCCTCTCTCTGATCCATCTCGGTCTCCGGCGGCTCAGCAATGGTCACTCTCCGCTTCTTGCCAGGCGACCCATCAACCTCGCCCTCTTCACCACCGTCGTGCTGATCCAAATCCTCGAACTCGTCTTTGATCTTGGCGATGGCCATCCGCGTGCCCAGCGACATGGCGCTGTCCAGCCGCCCCAGATCGGTCATCATCAGCCCCCCACTCTTGGCCACATCGCCCGCGTCGTCGTCCATCGCCGCCGCCTTGCGCATGTCCGTGTCGTGGGAATCGAAAAGCATGCGGTCCTCGTGCCAGTGCGAGTGGTGGTGGTGATGCACGTGGTGGTGGTGCTGCTGCTGCTGGTCCGGGAGGAAAGAAACGGACAGCCCGCTGCCCCTTCTCGATCGCTTCTTGGTGATGCGCGCTTCCTCCGGTCGGCCGACGGGTGGCCACTTTGGGGGGAACCAGTAGGCGGCCTGCTTGGTCCAGTCGACTGTGCGGGGGGGGAGGGGAAAGGGGCGGAAGGGCTCGGACAGCGTCACTAACAGCTCAGGGGCCGCGTACTGCTGCTCTGATGACTCGTCTGGCGGCGAGACGACGCTCGGCGGAGAGGGGGAGGGGGCGGGGCTGTAGTCCGGCTGCTGCTGCTGCTGCTGCTGGTCCTGCTGCTGCTGGGGTGGTGGCTGCGACTCCATGGTGCTCTCCTGCTGCTGCTGCGGCTGGTGGTGGTCCTGCTGGTCCTGGTGCTGCGGCACTGTTGGCTTTGGGTCCATCTCGTTGTATTGCTCTTGCTTGAGGAACCAGTAGAGGCCGCGGACGATGACCTCCTGCTCGAAGTAGGTGCGCAGGATGAGCGCGTGGCCGTACGGCAGCGTGTCGGGCGCGTTGTACTCGAAGCAGTTGGACAACATCAGATAAAAGTCGCTCTCAAAATCCTGACACATGCAGGACACATGACACCATCACACAGACCATATGGGCGCTGCGCATGCACAGCGAATGGATGAGTGTGTGTCGGCCATCCGAGTACCGTGGCTGTTTTATATCTCCATCCCTGGAGCTTCTTGCGGATGGTACCGAGGTCCATTGGCTCCTTGATCTTGACGGCATAGTCGGGGCAGCCGAACCGCAGCACGTCAACGGGCTTCTGAAACAGCGCACTCCACTTGAACTGACACACATTGTACAGCACCCTGCCAGACACAAAAGTAACCCAGACACATATCAGTCCGTTCGTGTCGGCCCCAGGCGGCTGGCTCGCTCACTTGGTGGCACTCTTGAGCCACGGATATGCCTTCAGGTGCTTGTGCCCCTGCACACACCACACCACACCACACCACAGACAGACAATGCACAGATGCACCCTCAGCCACACAGACAAGTGTCTGCCCGCTGTCTCACCCACCCACCTTGGTCTGCCACCAGAGTTTGAGGTTCCTCTTGCGTCTGCCGGCGTCGCCCGCCGGGTCGGGCAGGTACGACTCCAGCCAGTCGGCCAGCGTCTCATGACCGCCTGCGCGCGCATACGACGCCGCGCTCTTGTTCTGCACCTTCAACGACGGATCCGCACCCTGATTGGTCAGCAAACAGAGGGAGTAAACACGTGGATGGCGCGGCTGATGTGGTTGTCGCCTCATCCACCCACCATTTCTATCATGAGTTCGATGGACGAGCGGTGTCCGTTGCGGGCGGCGTAGAACAACGCGGGCTCTCTGTGGTGGTCCCGGTGGTCGATGTGGGCACCCCTCCGCAGCAGGAAACGGATTATGTCGTCCTGACCCTTCCGGGCAGCATAATACATCGGCGTCTGCTGGTTGAAGTCCCTCTGGCTCACGTCACACCCTGAACGACCATCAAACACACCAACCGCCACACAATGGACACATGCATGCACTCGCAGCAGGGAACTCCCTGTGTGTGTTCGCGCGTACCAGCTGCGATGAAGAGCTCAGCACATGGGATGTTTCCCTCTCTGGCGGCGTAGAACACCGGCGTCTGCTTGTTCTGGTCCAGAGCTGTCGGGCTGAGGCCGCCCATCTTCATCAAAGCACTACACAGGTGGTGCGCGTCCGTGTAGGGGTGCCTCTGCGCCGCATACGTCAGCAGGTTGCACCCGTAGCTGTCCTCCTCGCTGATGTGCGATCGCTGCTCCCTGTGTGTGTGAACGATATGACACACGCACATCGATCAGCGTGCACGTGTGGCTCGTCTGCGTGGGTTTGTGTCGGTAGCTCACTCGAGGAGTGCGATGACCTCCCTGATGGGCCTCGTCAAGCATGCAAGGGCCAGACGGAAGAACACAGACTTCGGCGGCGCATGGATGATCTTTTCGGGAGCCACGGACAGGGGAGTGGGTTGCTCTGACGACGACAACACGCAACACACGTCATACACACGCAGATTCGCTTCCCGCTTGCCACACCTGTCTGTTCCTCGTCGATTTCGAGCTCCTCTTCTTCGATCTCGCCCATCGACTCCTGATCGCCTTGGTTAGGCTCCTCCATCGGAATGAGACCGCTCATGTTGACGCTTTTGTTTTTTGCGAGCTCTCATGCAAGCTCGCAAGAACAGAGGTTCGAGGAGGCGAAAAAGGAAGGAAGTCAGCAGCCGAACAGGTATGCTGATGCTAGATCTTTCAATGTTTGTGTTGTTTGGTGATGCTTTTCTTGTTTTCTCAGGAAGTAATGACCTCGCCAGATGAAGTTCGCGTGTCGACGGAGCCAACATCATTCACGGCTACAACGATCAGTTTGAGGAAGGTAGATGGCTCGACTACACGACATGCGAGGACATCATCGACAAGACTATTGGGTTCTTTCGGTCATGGACACGGAGGCCAATGTCAATCAACCGTGAGCACTCGGTGTTTGTCAACACGGGGGCAACGGAACTGTTCAATTCGAGAACCGAGAGGCTGCCGCCAGGACAAGCGGGAAACGACATATATGAGTGGGCTGAATATGATTACAATGTCATGACCAAGTTTCACGAGCTGGTGGAGCAGGACGTTGGGGGGCGCAGGGTGGAGGAGGACGAAAATCTGATACTCCAGAAGAGGTACAAGTTCAAGCTCGTCACAGTGGATGTGAAAGGAAAGGAGATGGAGTGCGGCGTCTGTCGCGAGAAGACGAGATTCATCAGAGGACAGGCGGGGGGCGACATTGAAGTCAACAATGCAGTGCTCGATGCGGCTGCAAGGGATGACATCGATGCCGTCATTCTCCTCTCTGGTGAGTGCGAGAAAGGACAAGTTGTGAGATGTGCAAATTGGTGCTTTGGTGCAGGTGACGTTGATTTTGTCAAGACATTCGATGCAATGGACAAGAAAGATCCGCACAGGCGTAAATGGAAGTTTGTGGCAGCTTTCCTCTGGAGCGCCAGGTAAGCCAGCCGCGCAGACCTCTCATGGATAACTACTTACTTCCTCCCCTTGTCGTTCTGGGAACAGTCAGGAGCTGATGACACGTGCCGATAGCAGCTGCCTTTTGAAGATTGGCCGTCAAGGACAAGTGTGGGCAGACAAGTGGCGGCCGCTGCGTGCTGTCGGAGGGATGTGCACGATGGTGTCTCTGGGCTATATGAGAGTGGACAAGTCCCTATTGAGGCGACCGCCGTCCGAGAGGGAGCGATCTGATGACACAGACAGCGAGCGTGAGCGTGAGCGTGAGCTTGAGAGTGTGAATGAACGCCTCCTAGTCGAACTTCGTCCACATCGGCCTCCTGGGAAGGATTTCTGGGATCATCTGGGCAAATGAATCATGAACTGGTTGGGGGCGTGCTGTATATGTGAATTCACTGTGAGTTTTGCTGCAGTGTCGAGACTTGACACGAGGCGGTGAGACTGTATGAGTTATTCTCCTCATGTGTGCATGTATTGTGTGCAAGACCGCCAGATTGTTCATGTAATTAGTAATGCGATGATCCATACACAGAGAGATGTCCAAACGCAACACAAAATACAGACATGAAGTCAATCTTCCATGTCGCGTGAAGCACACACACCACAGACACACACACACACGCGCCCCTGTCTGCTCTCTGTCTGCGTGTCTGTGTGTCAGTGGGCTGGTCCCTTGCTGCCATGCACGCGGATGGACCCTTGCCGATGACTGCCGCTGGCCCTCACACACACATACACATGATGCGTGTGACGTGTGCACGTTTCAACACCCCACCCCTCACACACACCGACACACACACGGATGGATGGATGGACAGACAAATGCACGCATAACCCTCCCTCCCTCCCATCACTGCAGCACGCGCCATGTCTGTCTGTCTGTCTGTCTGCCCAAAAGAGAGAGGACATTGTCGATCCACATGTGTGTGTAGGTGCCTGCCTCTCTGTCTGCGTCATGTCTGAGTCGTGTGCTAGAGATATTGGTGAGGGGTTTCTAATCCCCCACCAGTCACCACCCGGTGCATCCCAGGGACGCCGCGCGCGCCGGTGGTGGTGTGTTCATACCCCCAAGTCACCGCCCCTCCCCCGCCCCTCCCACCCCAAGCACCCGCAATATACGCGAGCACCGTGAATGGATTCAGAGGGGACGAGTAGGGGCAGCGACTCGAGGCCGTACAGAACTGGCCGTACTCATAATTGCACACATGCACACTGGCCCCCCTCAGGCGGCGCCTACCCCGACCAGGTGACACGTCTGCGGCCGGCGATTCGTCGGTCGACCATGTAATGTAATGTCGGCCGACCGACAGACGTCTCTTCTCTGCCAGGCCTTCGCCGGAGAGGCCTGGACTTGCTCACAAAGCGCACGTCAGACTATCTAGGTGCATACAGCCATGACAGGCATGACAGGTGCCAGCAGAGAGGACGACAGGAGAGAGGTAGCTCGTGTGGTGGGTGTGGCCATAAGGTGCGTGCGCTCAGGGTGCTGCGTGCATGTCTGTCTCTGTGTGCGTGTGTGTGTGTGTGTCGGTGTGTATAAGGGCTGCCCAGTGCTGCGATGGCGCTGCGGATGGACACTCTCTTGCTCAGAGACAGAGAGAGAGAGGGGGCTGCCGCAGGGGCCATTTGAACGTCATCGCCCACAGACACGAACACTTAGATACAGAGAGGCAGGCAGGCAGACCAACACGGCACGGCACACCACGAAATCAAAACACATACACACCCCCGCAGAGAGAGAGAGTGGAAAACAGAGAGCTCTACAGAGGCCCCGCAGACGCCCCCCTGCAGGGCCTCTGTAGAGCCAGGTGAACCAGAGAGAGAGAGGGGGGGAGAGAAAGAGTCATTCGGTGGGCCGGCGAGAAGTGAAAATGCCCCCGATTCCCCAACCACCCCGCCCCCTGCCCGAGTACAGGCCATACAGCCCGCCCAGCACAACCGTCGCCACCACCACCATTGCAGGAGCGGCCCACACCAGCCACCTACACACACACACACACACACATGCACACACAGGGAGGCGCACACATGAATGGTGTGAGACATAGAGACGGGGGATGCGTGTGCGTGTGTGTGCGTGGTTGGTTTTACCGTTTTTGGCGTTTCCTCTGCTGCAGTGCGACCCACTCCTGGTCTTCCTCTAGCACCTCCTCCCAGCCATCAGAGGGCCACTAAACACACACACACCGACACACAGACACCCACACTCACACCCATGCCCACTCACTCTGTATGGCGCGTATGTGTGTGTGTGTGCGTGTGTGTGTGTGCAGCCCACCTGCTGCAGCTGGTTGCAGAGCGACTCGTCCGCCCCGAACTTGTCCCTCACCCGCTTCTCGATGGCTGCCTGCAGCCGCTCACCCAGACCCTCCAGCTCACGCGACCCGGTCAGCCCGATGCCCGTCACACACGGGGAGGGATTGAACCGATGCCTCAGCTCATCTTTCACGTCATCGAGCGTGATTTTCTGCACGGAGAGAGAGAGAGAGAGAGAGAGAGAGGTGCGTTTGGGTTGAGAGGGGGGAGGGGGGAGGGGTGTGGGGTTACTGCGTAGAAGTCGGCGATGCTGTGGATGTGTGATAGGTCCTTTGCTTTGTAGCGATCCTGCAGGCCGTAGAGCAGCGTCAGCCAGTAGTCGTTGGTCTCCAGGTTGCTCGCGATGCCCGCCAAGGTGGGCGCCAGAGCCTGCCAGACACACACACAGAGAGAGAGAGAGAGACAGAGAAGGACTCCATCCTTCACACACATACATACCCCCTGACCCGCCCCTTCATCAACACACACGCACCGCAGTGAACTCATTCTCAGTCGGTGGCCGATCGGTCGCCAGCGCCTAGACACACCACACGACATGTGGGCTCACTCACATCAATGGCACACCGCTCCCTTCTCTCACGTGCAGTTCGAGCATGACAGCGTCAAAGGCCTTGGCTGCCTTCTCGGGGGAGGGGTTGACCGTCACAAACACCACCCCGTCGTCGAAGAGATCGCTGTGGGAGCCGGTGAAGTCGGCCGCATACGCCAGACCACGGTGCTCGCGGATCTCCCTGTGTGTGTATTGACCAGAGAAGAAGAAGCCGCGAATATGCCTGTGTGTGTGAGGGGGGCGTGTGTGTGTGGAGGGGGGGAGGGTTTTGTGTACTTGAAGATTCGGTTGTTGACGATGGAGTCGATCAGCCGCCATAGCCGAAACCTGCCACACAAGATGCATCCACCTCTTGCCCTCTCTGTCCCTCCCTCCCTCCCTCGCGACTCCCTCACCGATAGAAAGGGTGTGCCTTGTACCTCTCCCCCTCCAGCAGCGGCATCGGCGCGTCCACATCACCGTGGTAGCCCATCCCATCGCCAACACCCTCTCCTTCCTCCCCGCTGTCTTGCGCTTCATTGTGGAAGGCCCGGGCCTTGTCGGTGTCGTACCGGCCGTAATTGCGGAAAGCCACTGTAAGCGTGCAGCGATTGGCGTTCTGCACAGGGACACACACACACACACACACAGAGAGAGAGAGAGGGAAGGGTCGATGCGCAACACACACTCCCATGTGTGTGTGTGTGTGTGTGTGTGTAGGGGGGTGAGGTCGCCCACCTGCTCGTCAGGGATGAAGACGCGACACACCTGCGACCTGTCGAAGTGCTTGATGGGCGCAAAGGGCACACTCACGTCGGCTGGGTCGTCGGTGGCCACGAGGGTGTGCTCAGGGTCGTTCTCGAGTGTGCCGAGGTACCGAAGTGCCAGCTCCTTGACGCGGGCAAGGTCGAAGTCGCCTTAAGCACGAGAGAAACAAAGGTGCGGCAATGTGCCACATCCATCGGTGTGTGTCCGCGTACCAACGACGGAGATCTCGAGTCGTTCGGGCTGCAGCTGTCTCCTGACGAGAGTCTTGAGTGTGTCGACGGAGAGGTCTTTGACCTGGTCCACGGAGGGGGTGCTGCACCGGTGGTCGCCGCAGAAGAGCACGTCGGCGAGACGGATGGCCAGTTGGCTGTCCATCGACGTCTCCATCAGCTGACACATGCCCGGTCGACACACACAGACATACAAATGGGAGGGAACTACACGTGTGTGGCTTTCGGTCTGTCTGTCTGTGTGTGGGTCCCCCATCCCTCTCTCTCTCTCTCCCTCTGTGTGTGTGTGTGTGTGTGTGTACGCCTACCTGCAGTTTGACGAGCATGGCGTTCCGCGCTCTCTCGAGTGCCTCCAGGTCCCATGTGGGTTTGGTCATGAAGGCGTGGATGAGCTGGAAGGACCGCTCCAGACCCACGCCCTCGTCAGCATTGGCGTCAAGCGCCATAGACACCACCACACCCTGTTGACACACATGGACACACACACACATGGATGGACACATCCATCAGTGGGTGTGTGTGGGGAGGGGAGGGGAGAGGGACCTCTTTATCGCTGCCAGATGAGATGGAGAGACCCCATAGCGGGAGGAGCTTGCGGATGACCTTGTTGGGGTACCCACACACGCCGCCGCCAAAGATGGCCTCCAAACCTGATTGACCGATCGATGCATCGATGGCAGCCAACGAGTCTGGGTCTGTGTGCTGCTGTGTTTTGGGGGAGGGGGGATGTGTCTGTGTGTGTGTGTGTGTGTTACCGAGGTTGGATGCGCCTTGCTCCGATTTGTCGGTCTCGAGCAGCACACCGCCCGTGAAGGCCAGATGGATGTCGCAGCTGTTGGGTTCTGACCAATCAGATCATCATGCGCACACCACACACGCCCGTGTGTGTGTGGTGTGTGTCTATTCGGTGATTCGTGTCATGCCACCCACCGAAGTCGGTCTTTTTTGCATTGATCGTCACGCCATTCTGCAACCGCAGCAACACCACCTGGCGATGCTCACACACACACACACGCACACACACACACAGATTGGCCATACCAAAGACGCAACAGCGTGTGTTGTGTCGTACGTCTGTGCGAGGGTCGGTGTATCCCTCTGACGCGTCATCTGTGTGTGGTGCCGCCGCGCACACACGTGGTCCGAAGGACTTGAGCGGCGAGCGCACCAGCGGCGGGATGAAACGAGGTCGCAGGGAGGCCATCTTGCTCTCTGCACCACACACACAAATGAAGCCACACACATAGAGAGGGAGGGGGAGAGAGAGAGGGAGGGATGTGCCTCTGTGTGTGCTGCGTGAGTTGTGTGTTCGCACACACAGACACACACAGGCAGACGTACCGATCTCGTGAGGGTCGACAATCCAGTCCGGAAGCTCGAATGCGCTCGGCTGTTCTGGCTGCTGCAGCCCCTTCCTCAGCACCTCCAGCACCTCACCCACTCGAAGACGCAGACGGGGCCCCTGCAAAGGAACAAACGAACGAATGAGCCAATCACTCCATACACACACATCCGCAGCCACAAAGGGAGAGGCACACAGAGCAGAGGCCGACAGACCTTGGGAAGTGCCCCGGAATTCATCGTGGGCATGTCAACGTCGAGGTGTCTGAGCGCGGAGATCTTCTTGACGGCCTGCTCGTGGATGAGGGCGGGGGTCTGCTGCAGACTCAGGGAGGGCTCCTCGCCGCCCAGTGGGTCGGGGATATGGCCGTCACTGCACCCCCCAGACACACACACACAGACATGGGCGGCCAGCAATCGAAGTTTGCTGTCTGTCTGTCTGTCTCTTCGTGCGGTGGCTTCCTCTCTCTCTCTCTCTCTCTGTGTGTGTGTGTGTGTGTGTGTGCGTACTCGTTGTCGTCCCCATAGTCGTCATATGCAGCATCGGGGCCCTCCTGTGTGTCGGTGTTCATGTGTGTGGGGCCGTAGACGAAGATGGAGCCTCTCGGGCGGCCCTCACGGCCCGTGTAGGCGTCGAAGTAATCCGTCACAAACGGGAAAATCTGATGCATGCGGGGATGGACCCATGTGCTTGTGTGTGTGTTTGTGTGTTTGTTGTGGGGGGGGGGTACCAGCTTTGCTCGGTCTTGGACGATTTGGGGGGTGACCAGCGGTGCCAACTCTTTGCACAGCTGATACTCCTGCACACACCAACAGCCAGCCACCGACATTACACAGATGCACGTCTGTCTGTCTGTCTATCTATCTATCCACCACACCGACCTGTTCTCTGTCGACGGTGATGTTGCCGACGGTCCAGTCGTCGAGGAGCTCCTCCATTAGCTCGGAGGACTCAATCGACGACTCCTGACGAGCCGCATCCCTACAAACACACACACACACACACCTCTCTCTCTCTCTCTCTCTCTGAGACTCTCTCTCTCCGTGTGTGTGTGTGTGTGATGGATGGATGGATGGGTACCTCCACTGCTTGAGCAGCGTCTGTGTGGCCCACTTGAGCTCCCCCGCACTCACCCCATACAAACACAGCTTCGCAATCTCCTGCACACACACACTTTTCCATCTGTGCGGGTGTCTTTGTGTGTGCACGTCTTCGTCGGCAAGTGACGCACTGCGTCACCTGTATGGCTGCGTGCAGGGCCTCTTTCCACTTGGTGGGCTTGGCCGAGAGCACCAGCACGTTCCACGCGCAGTTTTCACGGGCACTGCAGACACACACACACACACACACACGTGTGAGCGCCTGGCTGCGTGTGTGTGTGTGTGTGTATGTGTGTGTGTGCACCTGTTGAGGTATTCGTGTAGGATTGAGAGGAACGGCGGGTCCCGCGTGTTGTCGTACAGGTCGGCCAGACGGGAGTGCAGCACCTGGTGATGTGTGTGTGTGTGTGTATGTGTATGAGGCCATCCATCCATCCATCGTGTGGTATGTGTGTGTGTGTGGAGGGGTGTGGGGGGTTGCATACCAGGTCGATGGTTGTGTCAACCACGGTGATAAAGCTCTCCCTCCTGTCCCTCACGGCCACCATCGGCTCCTTCACGCCGATCGTTATGCTCACCTACACACACACACACACACACACACATCCATCCATCAGCCCACCCACAATAAAGGTGATAAATGCCTCCCCGCCCCCCCTCTCTCTCTGTGTGGGGGGGGGGTGGGGGGAGATGAGGGTGGATACCATACCAGCCTGAGTAGGTCGTGCTGCACCACCACCTCCCTTTGCTTGGCCGACTGGAAGAACGCGTGGCTGCTCGGCAGACGACCCGAACCGCGACACGTGAAACGACCACCTTCACACACACACCGAGAGAGAGAAACAAACCCATAATGGGAACATGAATGCCTCTGTGCTGTGCTGTGCAGTGCAGTGAGCGCACACCTACCTTTGCAGAACTCCAGGACGGGTGCGCTGGCGCTGTCCGGCGGCATGGCCTCTGTTTCTGTGTGTGTTGACGGCGAGGGTGAGAGGGTGGGAGATGGAGATGGGATGTCGGCGAATATGGAGTGGATGGCGCGGACGACCGCCTCTGCCTCGATGTCGCCCACCACAAACAGACACATGTTGTCGGGCGTATACCTGTTGACACACACACACAGGCGGACACATGTCTCTCTCTCTCTCTCTCTCTCTCTCTGCGTGTGTGGGGTGGTGGGGGGGGGGTGGTGGTGGGGGAGGGGTTCCCAACCAACCATT